GTTAGACCCCAATCTATCTTTTGGCCTCCGTATAGGAAAACTTGCATCTAAACTTTATCCAAAACTAGGTGCCCTGTACACAGGGCCGGTGCAAGGATTTTTGCCGCCCTAGGCAAAAAAAAAATTTGCCGCCCCCCCCCCCATATGCCCTGCCATATGGGCCAACGCCAGTCTTCACAAAGTGTCTTTTATCTGAAAAGACAGTGTGTTTACATTAAAAAGCCTACAGGCACAGGCTATAGACACCAGAACCACTACATTAAGCTGTAGTGCTTCTAGTGACTATAGTATCCATTTAATGTGAGATAAATTAGAGATTAGTGCCACTAATAATATATTGGATTGCCTACTTACCACCAGATGAGGACAAGAGGCTGATGATGGGCTCTGTCTGGCTCCACAGGTCTGGTGTAGAAGAGGCTCTCAGGAGACTGTTTTTAACAGTGCTCACAACAATTAACGAACAGGAAGCAGCTCCATGTTTTAGGGCCCCTTACACAGCTCAAGGTCTGGGCCCCCGGGGCTTGACCGTGAGTATGCCTACAATGCCCACCCATAAATCCAGCTACATGGCCCACCCATGAGTTCTCTCACAGGAAGTGGAGTGTATGAGTGTAGGGGATGTTTTATGTGTTATTGTAGAGGATGCAATGTGTGTGTGTTCTTATAGAATGTAGTGTATAGGGATACCAATTTCTGTAAGGGATGTAGTGTGTTTATAGGGGATGCAGTGTGTGTTTGCATGTAAGGAATGCATTGTATTGTGATGGGATTCCAGCATGGTTAAAATTTAGTAGGCCAAAATCTCCATGTGGCATATGTGTATGTTGTGTCAGTTGGTTAGCTACATGTAGCTAGGATACTGTCATCAGTGTACTGAGCATGTGCAGGAATGCAGGAACTGAAATTGCACTTATTTCCTTTGTCTTGGATGAGCCATGTGGTTTGACTAGATGTACAAGTCTATATTCTGCTCATTGATTGGTTAAAGGTGTATGTGGGTGTAGCTATTAATGGGAGGAGTTATAGTGCTATATAAGGAATGTACACTATGTGTTGGTCTCTCAGATCTTTTGGAACAGGAGTTCATCTGAGACCCGATCGGTAATGTGAATAAAGGCCTGTTACTTCCTGAAGACCTGTGTCCAATATTTCTGTGTTTGGCTTCTGCATGCTTACACTGCAACATCTCTTTTCTGGGTGTGTGTGTGTGTAAGGGGTGCAAGGTGTGTTTCTGTGTATTTAATTGAATGCAGTGTGTGTCTGTAAGGGGTGCATTGATTGTGTAAGAGATGCATTTTGTTTCTGTGTGTAAGAGAATGAGTGTTTGTGTGAATGTAAGGGATGCATTGTGTGTTTCGGGTGTGTCTGAGTAGGAATGCATTGTATGTTTCTGTGTGTGTGTGTGGGGGGGATGCATTGTGTATGTGTGTAGTGTAAAAGAGAGGGTTTGTGTTGTAGGATAGAGACTGAGAGGGGAGCTGCTCTTTATTTTTTGTAATTTTTTTTCATAGTGCTCTCCCCCCGTCAATTATTGATTTCCCCTTCCCTCCTGTCCCTCCGTGTTCTCCCCTTCTGTCCCTTAGTGCTCTCCCTTGGCCCCCTGTAGTCCCCCCTTGGTGGTCTTCTCAGTCCCCCCTTCCCCCTTAGTGGCCCTCCCTCTCCCAAACCCCTTAGTAGACATTCCCCTCCTCCCCCCACCCCCTTAGTGGTAATCCCCCCCCCAGTGGTCATTATCCTCTTTCCCCTCACCCCCCCTTAGTAGTCCTTTCCCCCCTTAGTGGTCCTCCCTCTCCCAAACCCCTTAGTGGACCCCCCCTCCTCCCTCAGTGGTCCTTACTCCCCACCCCCCGTCCCCCTGTGTTCCTTCACCCCCCCTTCCCCAGTGGTTCTTACTCCCCCTCTCCTCCCCCAGTGGTTCTTACTCCCCCCATTCTTCCCCCAGTGGTCCCTTACTCCCCCTCCCCCCCTGGTCCTTACTCACCCTCCTGCCCTCCCCCCGTGGTCCTTACTCACCCTCCCACCCTCCCCTGGTGGTCCTTACCCTCCCCCTCCCCCTGTGTTCCTTACTCCCCCCTCCCCTGGTGGTCCTTACTCACACCCTCACCCTCCTGGTGTTCTACTCCCCCCTGGGTCCTTACTCCACCCCCCCTCCCTGGTGGTCCTTACTCCACTTCCGGTGGTCCTTATTTCCTCCCCTCCACACCCCCCTCTCCTGATGGTCCTTATTTCCTCCCCCTCCTTACACCGCCCCCCCCCCTCCTGCCTATGTAGCGTGGCCGGGCGGCGCGGAACAGGAACCTCTGTTTCCTGTTCCCGGCCGCCAGCGGACTGAAGGGAAGTGCTCACTGTGATGCCACGCTACATTGAGAGACCAGCGGGAGGGAGCGCTCTGCACTTCCCTCCTGCCCGTCACTCAAATCCGGCCGCCCTCCACAGCAGTGCTGCACCGCCTGAGGCTTGTAAAAGCGCTCAGGCGGCGCAGCATGAGGAGCCGCCGGGCGCAGGGATCCGGCGCCCCCTGCTAAGGTGCGCCCTAGGCGGCTGCCTAGGTCGCCTTACAGGTGGCGCCGGCCCTGCCTGTACAGAAACAAAATCTGCCGTAAAGGCTCCAAGCCCTCCAGCAGACACCATAATCACCGTAGACTCCAGAGAGCGAAGCAGGAACAAGCTCTTAAAAGATCTTAGGAAGGATTATAGCAAGGGAATATGCAGAGCATAGCAATCGCTTGTAGCAGATTCCCCCAATAAGAGACAGGACTCCAAATTGAGGGTGAAGTAGAACGGAAGCTTTTAATCAAACACTCTGCTTTTATGCCCATTTTACAAACATAGTACCGCCCAAAGGGTTTTTAAGAACACACCAATCAATACATGACAACACGGCTTAACACTCCCATTCATACCAGCAGAAATCCTCCCCTCTGCCTGTGATACAATTACTGAACAGAATGGGCTAACATAATTATCACAGGCAGGAAAATACACAGTTTTACACAATATTCATAACTTTAAAAGTATACATCACATTCAGAATCAGCATACTCCAAATACAAACATGTGTCCAAATCATACAAATTGGTCCAGTGGTTCAAAAGATAGATGGAAGACCTATTTGACCGACTGCAAGCATTGCTTGGGTGTGGTAAACCAAGTATCTCCAGCATACAGAAAATATCTCCATTTACAACAACAGCAAATAGTTTGGATCTGAGTGTTCACTATATCCGAACAGCGCTCAAGATCCCACAAACACAGTCATATCGCCATGGGGTAAAAGTTAAGCAACAAGTTTTATAGATAATCCTATTGTATGAGGTAATTTATATAGATAATCCTATTGTATGAGGTAATCTATATAGATAATCCTATTGAGGTAATTTATATAGATAATCCTATTGAGGTAATTTATATAGATAATCCTATTGTATGAGGTAATTTATATAGATAATCCTATTGTTTGAGGTAATTTATATAGATAATCCTATTGTATGAGGTAATTTATATAGATAATCCTATTGTATGAGGTAATTTATATAGATAATCCTATTGTATGAGGTAATCTATATAGATAATCCTATTGAGGTAATTTATATAGATAATCCTATTGAGGTAATTTATATAGATAATCCTATTGTATGAGGTAATTTATATAGATAATCCTATTGTTTGAGGTAATTTATATAGATAATCCTATTGTATGAGGTAATTTATATAGATAATCCTATTGTATGAGGTAATTTATATAGATAATCCTATTGTATGAGGTAATTTATATAGATAATCCTATTGTATGAGGTAATCTATATAGATAATCCTATTGAGGTAATTTATATAGATAATCCTATTGAGGTAATTTATATAGATAATCCTATTGTATGAGGTAATTTATATAGATAATCCTATTGTTTGAGGTAATTTATATAGATAATCCTATTGTATGAGGTAATTTATATAGATAATCCTATTGTTTGAGGTAATCTATATAGATAATCCTATTGTTTGAGGTAATTTATATAGATAATTCTATTGTATGAGGTAATTTATATAGATAATTCTATTGTATGAGGTAATTTATATAGATAATCCTATTGTTTGAGGTAATTTATATAGATAATCCTATTGTATGAGGTAATTTATATAGATAATCCTATTGTTTGAGGTAATCTATATAGATAATCCTATTGTTTGAGGTAATTTATATAGATAATTCTATTGTATGAGGTAATTTATATAGATAATTCTATTGTATGAGGTAATTTATATAGATAATCCTATTGTTTGAGGTAATTTATATAGATAATTCTATTGTATGAGGTAATCTATATAGATAATTCTATTGTATGAGGTAATCTATATAGATAATCCCATTGTATGAGGTAATCTATATAGATAATCCTATTGTTTGAGGTAATTTATATAGATAATCCTATTGTTTGAGGTAATCTATATAGATAATCCTATTGTATGAGGTAATCTATATAGATAATCCTATTGTATGAGGTAATCTATATAGATAATTCTATTGTATGAGGTAATCTATATAGATAATCCTATTGTATGAGGTAATCTATATAGATAATCCTATTGTTTGAGGTAATTTCTCTAGTTAATTCTATTGTATGAGGTAATTTATATAGATAATTTATAATTTGAGGTAATTAATGTATATAAATAATTATTTAGTTTGAGGTAATTAATGTATATAAATAATTTTTTAGTTTGAGGAAATTCCTACAGACAATCCCTTTTATGACCGCGTGACGCTGCGTGACAGACAATGAAATCTTCCAGGATGAACCCAGCAACACACATATTCCTGGCAGCTGATTGGTCAAAGAAGAACCAATCACAAAACACTATACAAGCTGTGTATTTGCTAATGACTGACTAGTGTTATAAAAGCTCGCGTGTGATTGGTCGGCAGCTCGTTCAATCAGCAATACATACTCTGGGGCAGTAATTTCTCCGTCTGGTAATGCGTCACTAGCTGCCTGCCTGATTGACGTGATTGACGTCCAATCAGAGAGGCGGATCGCTCGAGGTTAGGGAAGCAGCGGCACATAATGGCGGAAGCTGCAGGTAATCTCCCCAGGCCCGTTACACGGTATTCCCGGAGCCTCCATTGGGGACATACCGATAGCACGGACAGGGTTTTATTAAACCTTCCGGGGTATTCAGAGTAGGGGCTTGTGTGATAGGTTCTGACGTCATCCGTGATGCCACATGTATATGAATGTGTGCTAATATATGACGTCACTACTAGGACTATCACCGTCAGAATAACACGCTATCCCTTCTAAGCCACTATCTGTATTACCTCATCATTAACGTATGACGTCACACTCAATATCTCTATGTATCTTATCTCATTACCCCATCATTAACGTATGACGTCACACTCAATATCTCTATCTATGTATCTTATCTCATTACCTCATCATTAACGTATGACCTCACACTCAATATCTCTATCTATGTATCTTATCTCATTACCTCATCATTAACGTATGACTCACACTCAATATCTCTATCTATGTATCTTATCTCATTACCTCATCATTAACGTATGACGTCACACTCAATATCTCTATCTATGTATCTTATCTCATTAACTCATCATTAATGTATGACGTTACACTCAATATCTCTATCTATGTATCTTATCTCATTACCTCATCATTAACGTATGACCTCACACTCAATATCTCTATCTATGTATCTTATCTCATTACCTCATCATTAACGTATGACCTCACACTCAATATCTCTATCTATGTATCTTATCTCATTAACTCATCATTAACGTATGACCTCACACTCAATATCTCTATCAATGTATCTTATCTCATTAACTCATCATTAACGTATGACCTCACACTCAATATCTCTATCTATGTATCTTATCTCATTACCTCATCATTAACGTATGACGTCACACTCAATATCTCTATCTATGTATCTTATCTCATTAACTCATCATTAACGTATGACGTTACACTCAATATCTCTATGTATCTTATCTCATTACCTCATCGTTAACGTATGACGTCACACTCAATATCTCTATGTATCTTATCTCATTACCCCATCATTAACGTATTACCACACACTCAATATTTCTATCTATGTATCTTATCTCATTACCTCATCATCAACGTATGACCTCACACTCAATATCTCTATCTTATCTCATTACCTCATCATTAAATTATTACCTCACACTCAATATCTCTATCTATGTATCTTATCTCATTACCTCATCATTAACGTATGACGTCACACTCAATATCTCTATCTATGTATCTTATCTCATTAACTCATCATTAATGTATGACGTTACACTCAATATCTCTATCTATGTATCTTATCTCATTACCTCATCATTAACGTATGACGTCACACTCAATATCTCTATCTATGTATCTTATCTCATTAACTCATCATTAACTTATGACGTCACACTCAATATCTCTATCTATGTATCTTATCTCATTACCTCATCATTAACTTATTACCCCACACTCAATATCTGTATGTATCTTATCTCATTACACCATCATTAACTTATTACCTCACACTCAATATCTCTATGTATCTTATCTCATTACCTCATCATTAACCTATTACCTCACACTCAATATCTCTATGTATCTTATCTTACTACCACATCATCAATTCATTGCCCAAAACTCAATATCTCTATCTCATCTTATTACATCATCATAAATTCATTACCTCACACTCAATATCTCTATCTATATATCTCATGGCATCTTATTACCTCATTATCAATTTATTACCTCACACTCAATATCTCAATATCTCTATTTAAGCCATCTTATTACCCAGTCGTGAATTTATTACCCCACTATCTATCTATCCCCATCTTATTACCTCATCTCTATTTATTACATCACTATCTATCTTTCTATCTATCTATCTATCTATCTATCTATCTATCTATCTATCCCCCATCGTATTACCTCATCACATCACACCCAATATCTGTATCTATCCTCCATCTTATTACCTCATCACCATATATGACCTTACACACACACTATCTGTATCTATCTATCTATCTATCTATCTATCTATCTATCTATCTAATTTTATTGATTAGGTAACTGAAATAATAGATTAAGGTGGTGCCATTGACATTGCTTACATAGATTTCAGGAAGTAATATCAGGAAGTATAACTTTACTGAGAGGGTAGTGGATGCATGGAATAGCCTTCCAGCTGAAGTGGTAGAAGTTAACACAGTGAGGGAGTTTAATCAAGCTTGGGATAGGCATAAGGCTATTCTAAATGTAAGATAAGGCCAGGGATTAATAAAAGTATTGAGAAAAGAGGTAGTATCAATGCATTAAAACCCCATTAATGTGAAGTAGTTTTGGTGCTAAGACTGTCCTTGTAATATGGTATGCATGTAATATTGCTGCTAGACTGAGCAGTGTTTTTATTATATTTCCTATCCATCCACCTCACCTCTAAAAATCAATTGACCTCAATCCCCATTATTCTATCTTTCCCTATATCCCTACACCTTACCCCTCCGAAATCCATTCACCCCTCCCCCAAGCATCCATCCATCTATTTCCACTCCCCCCATATCTATCTATCTATCTATCATTAATTACATAGCGCCAGCAAATTTCGTAGCTATCTATCTATCCTCCCATATGTTTACCTCACACACCCAATATTTCTACCCATCCGCACCCCACACTCTCATTATCCATCATCTACTGCATATTATCTATTCATCTCTCCTCCAATTATGGGCCATCTTCACAGATTTACACCCAGTAGAGATCAGGTGTTTCAGCATCACTGATTGGTTAGAGGCGAATAAAATCTAGCACGTAGCTGTAAAATGCTCACTGTTAAACAATGGCAGCACAGTGGGTCATACCAGTGACTTTAAATGGGACATAGGATGATCGTTTTGCCACAAGTCAGTTCATTAAATTTATGCTCTACTAGATCTGCTGTAGCAAGTGCTAATATTGTGAATTGAAAACATCTAGGATCAACAAAAGCCAGCCATTAGGTGGTAGACCACACATAGTCACTGAGCAAGGAGTCACTGAAACGCTACAGTGGAAAAATTGCCTATCATTAATTGCATTAGTCACTACCGGGTTTCCTAACTGCCTCAAGATGCAACAGTAACACAAAAGATCTAAATGAAATGCGATTCTATGGATGGGCAGCTGTACGCAAGCCTCACATCAACATGCGCAGTGCCAAGTGTTGGAGTTGTGGAAAGCATGTCGCCTTTGGACTAAGGAGCAGTGGAAACGTGTTCTCTAGAATGATGAATTACGCTTCACTGTTCCGCAGTCGGATGGAAGAGTCTGTGTGTGGTGGATGCCAGAAGAATGCTACCTACCAGATTGCATAATAACTACTGTAAAGGTTGATGGAGAAGAGATAATTGTCCTCTAGGGCTCTTACCGTGGGTTTGGGCTAGGCCTTTTAGCTCCAGTAAAGTGTAATTTTAATGTGATATGATACAAAAACATTTGAGAATGGTTTGACTAAAAAAAATGTGGAAAAGCACCAGAGAACACCTGACACCATAACCACTACAGTGTGCCCTCTTTGAAATCATTAATAATCTATATAATAGAGGCACTGTAATGTCATGTCATGCTGGAACAGGAAATAGCTTTCTCCAAACCGTTGCCCCAAAGTAGTTATTACCTAATATTCTAAAATGTCTTTGTATCCTGTTGCATGATTACTCTTCACTGGGATAAAAGGGCCTAGCCCAAACCCTGAAAAATTGCCTTGCACCATCTCTCCTTCACCAAACATTGCAGTGCCAGGAGCACCTCCTTGCTGTAGTCCAACATTCTCTGGTAAAGTCATCCAGCTTGATAACTTTTATCCTTTCAGATGTTTCTCACAGAGAAGCATTGGCGACAGAAATCATGTGCAGCTGTGAGAAGCATTAGCAACATTACCTACATTCAGCATCATCATGTTGTGTATGTTGACATCAAATGTGAAGTCCTTGAAAAATTGGATGATGTAAGGAGGAGGAATCTCTTGTCTTTTTGAAAGTTACTTGAGGCATGCTTTTGGACAAATGTAAATATTGCCATTTCTCAGAAACTGCAAAGATTTACTGTGTTTGAGAAAATAGGTAGTATTAATGCATTAAAACCCCATTAAGGTGAAGTAGCTTTGGTGCTAAGACTGTCCTTGTAATATGCTGTGCACGTTAGGTGTTATAATAATATTGCTGCAAGACTGAGCAGTGTTTTTATTATATTTCCTATAACTATTACCCAATTTAATGGTATCTACTTTCAAGGATGAAGGGCTGAGTCAACCCTGTGACCCCCAAGGGTTTAACAGGTTCTACTGATGATACATTAGCCCACTGAGCTATTGATTAATTAGCTATTTGATAAATGAATCCCCACTTGCCTTTTCAGCTCCAGGACTGGAGCCTTCACACTCTCTGCCTCCTAGAGCAATAACATCTTGGAGCCCCACGGGTCCATTACCAGTGCAGAATATTTATTTTGATATTGGCAAAGATCCCATAAGTCGTATAAATTTTGTTTACATGCCCTCCGTTAGCAGGCAGCAATGTGGGGAGTTTGTCATGCTGTGGCTGCACGGCTAATTATCAAAATACATATTATTTAAAGTTTGTAATTTTCTACTCTCTGTTTGGGAAATCATTAAGAAGAAGGATTTGGAAATCGCGCTATGCTTCCCAGTCATTGGTTTGCCAGAACGGGCATTTAATTAGTGATTTTTTAAATGTCTGATTACTAAAAAAGGACCACTGTAGTGTCAGGAAAACAAACCCGTTTTCCTGACACTATATAATCCTTAGTATCCCCCCACCCTCAGGGCCCCCCTCCTGCTGGGCTGAAGGGGTTAAAACCACTTACCTTTATCCAGTGCCGGGCTTCCTCTCCTCCCCCTCCGACGTCAGCTCCCGAGTGGAGCCGAATGTGCATGCGCGGCCAGAGCCTTGCGCGCATTAAAAACGCCCATAGGAAATCATTTCTCAATGCTTTCCTATGGACGTTCTGCGTGCTGAATGCGATTTTCGCTTTGAGCGTCGGGGGAGCGCCTCTAGCGGCTGTCAGGAAAACAGCCACTAGAGGCTGGATTAACCCTGCAATGTAAACCTGCTATGTTTACATCTGAAGGGTTAAAACCTGGGGAACCTGGCACCCAGACCACTTCATTGAAGCGTACAGTAACTGTGCAAATAGCCACACAGGACTGAGGTAACATAATCAAAAAGAAGCAAAGTGTAAACTGGGACTCTTGAGTCCTTCATCACTAAGCATTATGCTCATATAAACAGAGTACATAGTCAAAATCACAGTGAGAGCACGCAAGCGTCCATAGGAAAGCATTGTAAATTGTAAATGCTTTCCTAGGCGACCGGCTGAATGCGTGCGCAGCTCTTGCCGCGCGTGCGCATTCAGCCGAATGGGAGGATCGCAGGAGGAGAGCTCCCCGCCCAGCGCTGGAAAAAGGTAAGTTTTAACCCTTTCCTCTCCCCAGAGCCGGGCGTGAGGGGGACCCTGAGGATGGGGGCAACGAGTATGTTTTCCTGGCACTATAGTGGTCCTTTAAGCGAGGCTGGGTAGACCCATCCTTAACATGTTACTGTCATGTGGCAGGGGATGGTTGAGGTCACTAGGGGATCAGGCAGGTCCCAAAACTGCCAAACCTGGTCCAGCACCTCAAAATGTACCAGAAAGCTCCTCATATCCTCTCCAATGGTAGGCGTCTCTCTGTCAGTGACCCGGGGCCTGTCCCCTCAGCCGTGTCTATTGGGGATCCGTATGTCAGCAAAGCCTGGAAGTCTGGGCGTCAAGCAGCCAGTGAGTCCAAATATCTGTGTATGTCTGTGTACGTCCCTGGGACGCAAAGGTCAGCTCCTTTAACCATCGTAGGTTCTCCATTTTGTCAAACCATAATGTCATGGGCGGGGGTTCCTCTTTTTTCCAGTAAGGGGGATAACCTGTTTGGCTGTGTTCAGAATCCGTATGGACAAAGACCTTTTGTATTTGGCGGTTGAAGTGGTGGTGTGATGTAGGAGGAATGGCGCTGGTGTGAAAGCGGTTGGGTTGTCCGAGAACTTCTCGAGGATGGCACTAATTGCCCTCTAGAAAGGTTGGATTTTAGGGCAATCCCACCATACATGCAGGGACGTGCTCAATGCGGCCCAACAGTGCCAACAGTCGCCGTCTAAGGTAGGGTTAATGTTCTGGAGGAGGAGCAGTGTTTTATAGCATTGTGTTAAGACTTTATAGGCTGTCTCCTGAGTTCTGCTAGCTAGTGCACAGTGATGCACTAGATTGCAAATCGTCCCCTATTGGTTGTCTGTGAGGGTTTCCCCGAGGGCCACTTCCCATTTCCCCATGTAGCTAGGTGCCTGTGAGTTCCCTTGTGTTTGGAGTAGGGAGTATAGAAAAGAGACTGCGTGAGATTGTGGGGCAGGGTCTATACAATTTTGTTCGAAGGAGGTAAGAGTCCTATACAAGTCTGGTTGTTTAGGTACGTGGACGAAAAACCTTTTAAGTTGTTCGTACTTAAACCTATGCTTGAATGTGCCTGCGGTGTCCCCCAATAAGTCATCCAGGGTCTTGAGTCCCTTCCCCTTAGTCATGTGGCGGACCTGGACCTGTGCGTGTTTAAAGAAGCAGACGTAGGGTCTGCCCCCCAAGCCCGGTGGGAAGCCAGGGTTATTGGTGAGGGTGACGGGAAAGAGGAAAGGCCCAATTTTGATCTCAAGAGTGGCCTTAACACATGGCTGGTGACCCATGGCTGGTTAACACCCTACTCTCTCCTTGTGTCATCCAGACTAGAGTGTGCAAGGAGCTGCCTGTTTGGCGTTGCTCGATGTCTTTCCACAATTTGGTAACCTTGCCCTTGGCCCATTCTAGTACTCTGTACATGTGGGTAGAGTAATAATATAGGAGAAAGTCAGTCACTGCCAGCCCCCCCTCCGCCTTCAGTCTAGTCAGAATCTGGTAACGTATTTGAGATTTCTGGGAGCCCCATATATTTTTTATCAGCAGCGATCTTAGGGATGTGAAGTACGTAGCTGGAATCTTGATTGGGAGCGTCTGAAACAGTTAGAGGATGCATGGCAGGATATTCACCGTAGTCACTGCAATGCTTCCTAGCCAAGATATGTGTGGTAGCATCCAATCTGCATAGACAGCATTGGGGTGAAGTTTGTCTCAAACAGTTGGGCGTTGTCCCTAGTTACCCAGACCCCCAGTTCTATCCGACCATTAAATTGAAAGTTCCCACACACAATGGTAGCCCTGGTCGAAGGCACTGAGATATTGAGCAGCGTCAACTTGGTATAATTGAGTTTGAAGTTAGATAGGTCTCCGTAGAGCACAAACACATGCATGATATTCGGCATTGTGATCTCTGGGGATGCCACAAAGAACAGGAGATTGTCCGCGTAAGCAGCTGCCTTGTGCATCTCGGGCAGATATGGGTTTAGTCTGGTGGCCAGTATTTTCGGGCGTAAGGCCGAAAATATCACCCCCCCAATATCAGATAGCCCTCAACAAAGGCTATTAGGGTCTGCAGCGTGGCCTCAGAAATCTGCCTTGTTGTGAGTTAGGTGCATAGATGTTGGCAAAAGTGTATTTCTGGCCTTGTATCTCCCCCTTTATGAAAACGTATTGACCCTCCAGCCCCACCAAGGTTGCGCCATGAAGATCCGGGATTGACTTGTGAATGAGGATAGCAGTTCCCCTAGCTTTGCCATTATGGTTATTCCCATAAAAGCCCATCGAGTAAATGTGGTTGGTCAGTTTCAGGACGTAGCCCTCCCTAAAGTGTGTTTCTTGGACATACACCACATGGGCCTTCTGAGCCTTAAAGTACCGCAACACAAGTGATCTTTTCTCTGGTGTGTTCAGTCCCTTGTCATTGAGGGACATCAGCCTCAGATCAGTGGGCAAGAAGGAGGATGTGGGGCCTGACATGGCTGACCAGGAGCTGTTGGGGAGGGCCTAGCTAAAGTATACTAAGATGAACCGGGTCACCGGCTACGCGTAGTCAGGAGTTAGAAGAAGAGAGGGGCACCACTGGGTGTGCTAAAGGTAAAAAACAAAAGATGTAAAGAAAATATAAGCTTGGGAACTCGGGTCTGTCAAAGTGCGTGGACGGTGGCCAGCTATTGTATTTCCTCTCACCAGCATTAGAGAGGCATAGAGTGCTGCATACAGTCAGCTTTACAAAACTGTAAATTAAGCTTTGAACAGGCTGATACCTGTCACAGTATGGCTGCTAGAGACTTATTGAGCATTTTTACTGTGATTGGGGGCTTAATTATATGTTCTGTAGCAGCACTTGCTTGTACAAGTGCTGCATTTTCAAAGGATTTATTTCCTTTTAAATCATTAATTATTTTAATAATTATTTTTCCAATAATCAATTTAATACATTAGCTCTAGGATAGATTAAAAACATTTACCATCACTTCCTCCCTTTTTTGTTCCTTTATCTTTGCGACAGGGTTTGTCTACTAAACCAAGGATTGAGGTGTATCGACCATAACATTTCAAATTCTAAGTCAAAATAGTGAAGTGAAAAATATTGTATCTGTATTCTTTCACTGTTTTACGCCCCATGCCCTCCACCCATAGGTAGTTCCATGCATCCACCACACTGTGATAATACATTATTATGATTCTTTTAACGACCATTTGCCTCCATTCACCTCCTAGGCTTCTGAAAGTAGCTCCTGAAGTCTGGACAGCACCGTCTGCTGATGCCCCCCACAAGTAGCGGTCATGCAGAGGGGGGTCCCTGGAAAGGTGGAGGGTGATGAGCAGAGGGGCAGCTCAAAGATCCCCTTGCCATCTACTTCTCAATCCCCCCTCCCTGTTTTCATATTCCCTCCATCCCTGGAATTCTACGCCGATGACCAAGCTAGCCACAAGCAGGTCCTCACCCTCTACAATCCATTCCCATGTGTGCTACGGTACAAAGGTATGTGTGAACTCAGTATGGAAATTGTATCAGTGGCATTATGTTGGATGTGGACAAGTCTGCTCCAGTCAGCAGACAGCATTGGTAGTGGGCTGCCTATGCTAGGGTGTTTATGGTGTCCAGTCAGTCATCTTCTACAGTTTATTGGTGCAGAGGCCTAACTTATAATGATTTAGTACCAGGAATCAGGTTGATCTTTGACCTTCATTCCCTTACAATTTTAGCCAGAGCCAAAACTAAAGTTAAAGGTTGTGGCATCATATTCTGTAACTGCACTCCCAGCATTCTCAAGGTGTAAGTGAATCACAATAGAAGTGTAGCAGGATGTTATATTGCACAGCTCCCATCATAGTTTAATGTGATACTTCTGCTGCCCCCACCAGAGCATAATGAGATATTATATTATTACGCCCCATCATAGTGTAATGGGATATTATATCATACTGCTTCCATCATAGTGTAAAGGGATAATATATTATACAGCCCCCATCATAGTGTAATGGGATATTATATTATACCGCCCCCCCATCATGATGTTATGTAATGGGATATTATTATTATTTTATTATTTATATAGCGCCAACAAATTCCGTAGCGCTGTACAATGGGTGGACTAACAGACACATAATTGAGATCAGACCACTGACGTACAGTTGAGGGCCCTGCTCGATGAGCTTACTTATATTATACCGCCCGCCATCATAGTGTAATGGGATATTATATAATACTGCCCCATCATAGTGTAATGGGATATTATATTATACCGCCCCCCCCATCATAGTGTAATGGGATATTATATTATACCCCCCCATCATGATGTTATGTAATGGGATATTATATTATACCGCCCGCCATCATAGTGTAATGGGATATTATATAATACTGCCCCATCATAGTGTAATGGGATATTATATTATACCGCCCCCCCCATCATAGTGTAATGGGATATTATATTATACCCCCCCATCATGATGTTATGTAATGGGATATTATATTATACCGCCCGCCATCATAGTGTAATGGGATATTATATAATACTGTCATAGTGTAATGGGATATTATATTATACCGCCCCCCCCATCATAGTGTAATGGGATATTATATTATACCCCCCCCATCATGATGTTATGTAATGGGATATTATATTATACCGCCCGCCATCATAGTGTAATGGGATATTATATAATACTGCCCGCCATCATAGTGTAATGGGATATTATATAATACTGCCCCATCGTAGTGTAATGGGATATTATATAATACCGCCCCATCATAGTGTAATGGGATATTATATAATACTGCCCTATCGTAGTGTAATGGGATATTATATTATACTGCCCCATCATGATGTTATGTAATGGGATATTATATTATACCGCCCGCCATCATTGTGTAATGGGATATTATATTATACCGCCCCCCCATCATAGTGTAATGGGATATTATATTATACAGCCCCCATCATAGTGTAATGGGATATTATATAATACTGCCCCCATCATAGTGTAATGGGATATTATATTATACAGCCCCCATCATAGTGTAATGGGATATTATATAATACTGCCCCATCATAGTGTAATGGGATATTATATAATACTGCCCACCATCATAGTGTAATAGGATATTATATCATACTGCTTCCATCATAGTGTAAAGGGATAATATATTATACAGCCCCCATCATTGTGTAATGGGATATTATATTATACCGCTCCCATCATAGTGTAATGGGATATTATATTATACCGCCCCCATCATAGTGTAATAGGATATTATATTATACTGCTTCCATCATAGTGTAAAGGGATAATATATTATACAGTCCCCATCATAGTGTAATGGGATATTATATTATACCGCCCCATCATAGTGTAATAGGATATTATATTATACTGCTTCCATCATAGTGTAAAGGGATATTATATTATACAGCCCCCATCATAGTGTAATGGGATATTATATTATACCGCCCCCATCATAGTGTAATAGGATATTATATTATACTGCTTCCATCATAGTGTAAAGGGATATTATATTATACAGCCCCCATCATAGTGTAATGGGATATTATATTATACCGCCCCCCCATCATGATGTTATGTAATGGGATATTATATTATACCGCCCACCATCATAGTGTAATGGGATATTATATAATACTGCCCCATCGTAGTGTAATAGGATATTATATAATACTGCCCCATCATAGTGTAATGGGATATTATATAATACTGCCCACCATCATAGTGTAATAGGATATTATATCATACTGCTTCCATCATAGTGTAAAGGGATAATATATTATACAGCCCCCATCATTGTGTAATGGGATATTATATTATACCGCCTCCCCATCATGATGTTATGTAATTTAATATTATACCGCCCACCATCATAGTGTAATGGGATATTATATAATACTGCCCCATCGTAGTGTAATGGGATATTATATTATACTGCCCCATCATAGTGTAATGGGATATTATATTATACTGCCCCTGCCATAATGTAATGGGATATTATATTCTGTAGCGCCTTGCCTTAATGATATCTTTAATTGGAACACACAGTTTCATCCTATTCCTCTTGCAGTGCTCTCCACGGCCCCATTGCATTATACTGTGGTTGATACAGAAGGTCTGGTGAAGCCGAACTCCTGCATTGACATGTGAGATTCACATACTTAACCTCTCAAACCCACCAAATATCTTCTTTATCCTAAGCCATCTTACCCTTCCTTCTTCCACCAGCGTTGTTCGGCACCGAGATGTCCGTGTACGGCACTATGGGACCACTGATAAATTCCGGGTAGAAGTTTGGGAAGAGGGGGGCCACAAAGGCCCTGCTGCTGGCAAGAAGGAAATAACTGCAACACTACATCCAACCAAACCTGAGAACAGAGAGAGGGGATCACCGGAACCACTGCAGTGGCATCCACCCTCACACATGTTCTCTGTGAGGCATGGTAAGAAATACCCACTAGAGCTGTACAGCATTACATTTTACTTTCCAGTATTTATATATTGAGTGTGGGTATACAGTCCTGCATATTGCTTATCAGAGTATATATGCTGAGTGTGACGCTACAGCACTACATTTTGCTGATCAAATGTTTGCATATCCTGGCAGAAATTGTGAACTTTTGGCATTGATTTTTAAAATATGGCTAATCATGCAAAAAAATTATTTTATTGAAAGATAGTGATCATATGAAGCCATTTACTATCACATAGTTGTTTGGCTCCTTTTTAAATCATAATGGTAACATAAATCACCCAAATGGCCCTGATCAAAAGTGTACATACCCTTGGATGTTTGGCCTTGTTACCGACACACACAGGTTAACCCCTTAAGGACGCCAGAAAATGTTTTTCCGTGATTGCAGCACTCCCCATAAGGACGCATGACGGAAAATTTCCGTCCAAAACTAAAATTAACCCCAGCAGGGTTAATCCAACCTCTAGTGGCTGTCTTTCTGACAGTTATTAGAGGCGCATCTGCAATACAATATGCGAAATTTGCATCCAGCGTGCAGAACGTCCATAGGAAAGCATTAAGAAATGCTTTCCTATGGACTGTTTGAATGTGCGCGCACGGGAGCTGACGGCGGCGGGGGAGGAGAGGTCACCAGCACCGAGGGAGCCCGGCGCTGGATTAAGGTAAGTAGCTGAAGGGGTGTTAACCCCTTCAGTGCCAAGGGAGGGGGACCCTGAGGGTGGGTGCACCCTTTAAGCACTATAGTGTCAGGAAAACCACTTTGTTTTCCTGACACTATAGTGATCCTTTAATTTCCCACACCTGTGGCTTCTTAAATTGCAATTAGTGTCTGTGTATAAATAATCAATGAGTTTGGTAGCTCTCACGTGGATGCACTGAGCAGGCTAGATACTGAGCCATGGGGAGCAGAAAAGAACTGTCAAAAGATCAAAAAAGATTTCAGCCACAACTGTCAGAAGAATTGTTCGGGATTCAAAGAAAACCCCACAGGTAACCTCAGGAGAAATACAGGCTGCTCTGGAAAAAGACGATGTGGTTGTTTCAAGGAGCACAATACGAAGATACAACAAAAAATTGAACAAAAATGAGCTCCATGGTCCAGTTGCCAGAAAGAAGCCTTTACTGCGCCAATGCCACCAAAAAGGTCAGTTACAATATGCCCGACAACACCGCGACAAGCCTCACAGATTCTGGCACACAGTAATTTGGAATAACGAGACCAAAATAGAACTTTATGGGCACAACTATACGTGCTATGTTTGGAGAGGGGTCAACAAGGCCTATAGTGAAAAGAATACCATCCCCACTGTGAAGCATGGTGGTGTCTCACTGATGTTTTGGGCACCGGGAATCTTGTGAAAATTGATGGCAATATGAATGTAGCATGTTATTAGAAAATACTGGCGGTTCTGGTAGATAGAGTCTAAATCTTTTTTCTTTCTGGTAGGGAGACTAAATTAAAAGAAAAGATATGGAGTACCTTTCAGAACTTTGACATTTGTGAAGAGAGGTTAGGAAACAGAGTAGTACCCAGAAACTCACATATAAAGTCCATACTTGAAGTTGAAATTTTATATTTATGTACCCGTTTGTTGTGTTTTGTCTTTTTGCAAGAGGAAAAAAGGAAAAAGAGAAAGAAAAAGACACAATTAGATAGAATCTTAACAAAAGAGATTGTTTTTATATGTAATATTTGTACGCTGTAAAAATGATAAAAACAAAGTATAAATAATTGTATGTATGTATGTCAAAAATGTAATAAAAATGTTTTACAAAAAAAAAAAGAAAGAAAAGAAAATACTGGCATACAACTTGCATTCTTGTGCACGATGGCTGCGCATGGGACGCTCTTTGATTTTTCCAGCATGACAATGACCCTAAGCACAAGGCCAAGTTGACCCTCCAGTGGTTACAGCAGAAAAAGGTGAAGGTTCTGGAGTGGCCATCACAGTCTCCTGACCTTAATATCATTGAGTCACTCTGGGGAGATCTCAAATGTGCGGTTCATGCAAGACGGCCAAAGACTTTGGATGATCTGGAGGCATTTTGCCAAAACCAATGGGCAGCTATACCACCTGCAAGAATTAGGGGCCTCATAGACAATTATTACAATAGACTGCATCCTGTCATTGATGCTAAAGGGGGCAATACACAGTATTAAAAACTAAGGGTATGCAGACTTTTGAACAGGGGCAATTTGATTTTTTACTTTGTTGCCATGTTTTGTTTTAGGATTGTGCCATTCTGTTATAACCTACAGTTGAATATGAATCCCATACGAAATAAGAGAAATGTGTTTTTCCTGCTCACTCATGTTTTTTTTTAAAAATGGTCCATATATTACCAATTCTCCAAGGGTATGAGTCTCAGCGTGGCTGTACAGCGCTACATATTCCTTACCAATGTATAGATAGTCTGCATGGCTATACAGAATTCCAGCTCTATACAGTAAATAAATCCCACGTAACAGTTGTTTGCCACATGGTTCCACGCAATATGCACTAGCAGGAAAAGCTTTGGCTTCTCAAAGCTACGCAGACACTATCCTGAGATAGGAGGCAGATTATATAGCACATCATGCTCTTCTAATCCACACAGAGATACACAGCACTGCTCTATAGTACACAGATAAGCATCATTATAGCGTAGTGTTTGATCTAATCTGAATACAGATACTGTCTTACTATACAGGTTTCCCACGGCCACTCTCTCCTGGTCTCTTCACTCTCTATGTCCTGATGGGGATGACATCACTGGTGGTTCTCATGCTCCCATTACACGGAGACCCCCGCACCCTCCTGCACGAGCATCTCCATGTGTCAGTCATCCAGAAACTGGTTGCTGCCTACGTGCTAGGTATGGAGCACACATTCTTTGAATAATTTACCTCTTCCGTGCCAAGCATGTATCCCTTATGTGGCTTACAAAGTGAAATATCTGTTCAATATTTGGCAGTCGTGTCACCAAAGTACACGTGTTCTTCTTGAGAAGAAGACAAAAGATATTGAATTCTAAAATCGTTTGTTTCCAGGCAACATGCAGCAGAGGCTCCACTGTGTAAAACATTGTAACATTGAGACATCAAATAATAGAATTTATTCTGGAATCCAAATTTAAACTTTTTTTTGCCAAATTCTCTGAATGCTATATTTTCTTTCATCTTTGTGTACTGTGTATTATATGAAGGCAACTGTTTAGGGCTAAAACTTTTTTTTCTTAACTGCGAACACACAAAGTTGCGTTTCATTGTATTAATAGATAAGCTTTATATTTTGCAAGTTTAGAGTAGTAAGAGATATGAAAGATCAGACCAATGAGCAGGTTGCACTGTAGGAGAGGAGACCTAGCATGCTTTCCATGTATGAGGCGGTCTATCCTATCAAAGGAAAACAAACCAAAAAAAATAATAATATAAATAAATATATATAAAAAAGTGTGATGTCCAATTCATGGTGGAGCCAGTTTTGTCCCAACCCTTTTCCCATTGCATTGGCTCCTTGATGTTTAACACAATCCGTATGTCTCTCGCCCACAGGTCTTCTCACCATGGTTTTCCTGCAGGGGTGAGCAGACGCACAGGATGCTGTACTCTCTCTCCTGATCAGCACTTTGCATTGGATAATTCGCTGTGGGAGGGGGCACAAACTGATAGGTTTGTCTTTCAAGGAACCGGCTGTAAATAAACCATGTGGCAATGTCCGTGTTGTGTGTATATGTAAAATAATTTTATCCGGCGTATAATATGTATAAACAATTAATTATGGTTTAGCAGTCTGTTTATACACACTCATCACATGGTGTGTGCTATATAGAATGTACAAACACCCATGGTGCAGGCAGACAGGAATAAATGCTAAACAATGTAACTTTCTTTTTAATAAAAATGAATGGGACCAGCAAAATGACTTTTGTGTTGTTCACACCATAGGTACAATTAGAAACACTTGCCTGTGTCACCCTGCGGGGAGGGGGGAGGGACTCATGTCTAATCACGATGTCATCCTGCAATGGGAGGGACTACGTTGTAATCACTGTGTCACCCTGCAGACAGAGGTGAACCTCATAGCCCCTTATTACTATGTGTCAGGCCTTATTGTTATCCAATATTCAGAATTATAATGCACACTTATTGCTGCACAAGTGTGTAAATCGGGCATGGGGGACTGACTCCGCTCCTTCTGTCAGTGTTACTCTCTAGTGGAAAAATATTTTCAAACACTACTCCCTTAAATAGGCCCCAGGAAGTATAACCAGTTTTTTTTTTACATTTTTTTTTAATTAATTTCCATCACACAGATCACAGGTTACAGTCAGTGGTAATTTATTGAAACTAATGAAAAGGAAATAAGAATTAATGGGCCAATAAGAGCACATTGGCTATAGATTCTTATCCTGCTGCATGTTATATATAGACTCACGCCATCCATTTTCTTTGCAACAATTCTCAGCTTCGACCAAATAAACTGACAGTACATACCCCACTCCATCAGCTCCACAGAGGATTTAGTAAATCAAACTCAAAGCAATAAGCAGATCAAAAAAGATCCAAACCCAAACATGGCGGTTCAGGTGGTTTATCTATTAAAAATACATATGTTGGTTTCATCATAATACTGTGTGTGCTTAGAAATATATCAAGCTGTATAGCAAAGTCCATTCCCCTCATTTGGTGTACAGTACGTTACACACAGACTGGATCTATACGGTCCTTCTGTTGCTGCCCAATCTTTAACAGAGTTCCATAACACGGAGCAGGACAAGGTATTGCTCTTTGAAGACACGGAGGCATTCCCTTAGCGGTTTGAAAACATATCTCAGACATTTAGTGAGACGAAGGAGGAAACTAATCAACAAAAAACAGAAGCGATTTTGGCAGATTTATTGAATAAGGCATAATTTGGCAGAAGGCATTCCAGCAGGGTCTCTGAAATAATATTAGGGTGAGGTTCTAGTGGAAAATTAAGGCTTCGGATACACAGTGCAGCTGGTGAGCAGAATATCAGAGGCAAAAGTGAAGGCAGAAAAAAGCTTTATGGCTACAAAATCTCCACATCTAAACATCCAAAAATACAGTGTGCCCCAGTGCTGACCAGATCATCATTTCAGGTGATCAGTTCCCAAAATACAGACTGCTTGTGACAGTGCAATAATCTCACGCTAAAATCAGAGAGGCAAAGGCTGTGTATATCCTACACATATGTATCTCTACATCTACATACATGCATTGAATACACATCAGTGTACACAGGTGTGCGCTTGTCTTGACATACAGTTATACACGTGTGTTTATACATATATTCCTATATACATACACACAGATACATATATACACACTTCAAATTAGATATATATATTCCTTACATAGTGTTACAGAATGGCACACAGGAGCATTCCTCTTTGTCAGGTTTGTGTCCCAGAGGGGGTGCCCAATGCATTACAAAACAGTAAAAGGGGTAACGGGGAAAGAGAATAGAGAGTGTGATCAATCTCATAAGAGCTCCAATATTTAGATTGCTGTAAACTCTAAATATCACTTTGAGTTCATTTTTAAGGTGATTGTTACAGCTAAGGTCGCAATTTATACAGAAAAGCCATTGCTTTAACCCGGTATTAGTTTGTGGGGTTGGTGAACTTTCAGCCCCTCTCTTGATGAGTCAGGGAAGAATCCCTTCTTATTCTAAAATCGTATCAGGATATCAATAATAGGATCAGAAGAATTTAAGGAGCATAAAAACGACGTAAAATATCACATCGGGAATATTTTTGCATGATGCCAATACCACTCCATACTGTCATTCAGCTAAACAGGAAATGGTACAGTCCCCAAAGCTTACGATCATTTTGAGCATCTTGTCTTTGTATAAGATTAAAAAGCCCTTACCGAAGCTCATAAAAAAAAAAAAAAATTCAAAAACAATTCAGTGTTTTTAAAGTTCACTGGTATTTCACATAGAGACACTTAGCAGGGACAGAGCCACACAATTACCGTGGATGCCACTAAAATGAAACAGGTCAGTGGTTTGATGTAGTGTTTGAATATCCCCCACCTCCATTAGCAGCTATTTAAGGCAGATCGACAAGATGCCTCCTCTGCCCATAGAAAGTTAGAGTTCAAAATAAACAAAAACAATTCCAACCCACCCACCCCCAAAGCAACCCACTCAAATAATAAGAAAAAGAACATCTTATTATTAACATAAAAATAACAATGACATCGCATAATATCACTTTCCCAAGTTTTACTTCAGTGAGTAACACAAAACAAAAAATAAAATCCATCGCTCTGCACTTTGCATCTTCTCTTACTTCCATTACCTATTTAGTAGAGGTTTCCCTCCTCCGAATCTCCATTACTTTCTTTTTCACTTCCTCTTTACATTTGCTACATACTTTATATCCACATCACTTCACACTGGTGTCTCCCTATCCCGTAAATCAGGGGCCGAATTCTGTCTGCGCATCCTGGGGGGTGCTGTGTATGGGTGGTATTTGTATGGCCGTTCTTGTGGAGAGGATGGGTGACGTGTGTGCTGGCCTCCATTTTCATTTTCCCTACCTTGACCTCCCTTTCCTATCTGACGTTCATCATTTTGCCGATTCTGCCGATGTGGTGGTCGTCTTCCTCTGTTAGAGCCCCCATCTAACGAATTCCTTCGTTGCCTAGAATGGTCAGTTTCATTTTGCCGTTTCTGATGACGTCCATTCCTCCTCTCAATTTCCTCCTCCCCCACACCCTTCCGTTCCTCTGGCCAGCCACAGTTCACATCCTCTACCACATATGTGGTACCTGGTGCCCAAGAGAAGCGGTGTTGTGGGTTGCTTTTAAATGGAAAGCGTAGCTTGCACTCCAATGGGGGGATAAACTTGCCAGTGCCTGGGGGTCGTCTGAGACAGCGTGTTATTTGTTGTTGCTGAAGATTCTGTATTCGGGTCTGTTCCTGCTTTATCCAACGCATTCTCCCTCGACGGAAAGTTGCATCTTCCTCCATCAGCTGAGACACACGATGCTCTTTGGGTGAACGCTCAGGGGAGCTTTCATTCCTACCACCATCCAAAGAGTCCGTATCATCATTGGAATACCATTGGAAGGACTGGTCATCAGGATAATCTTCTGTCCATTCTTCCTGAAGAATTAAAAAAAAAAAAAAACGGGATTAAAATACAAAGCAAATGAGAAAACTATTCCATTCCTCACCAGGACTATGCAGTGCTAAAGCTTTCATTAACTCCCCCCACACTACACTGTGGCTTTCTTTACTATCCCTAACGCAGAGCGCTATGGGCTTTCTTTACCTTCCCCTCCAACCAAGTGCTATGTGCTTTCTTTACCATCCCTCACGCAGAGCACAATGGCTTTTGTTTTTTTTTAATCTTCCTTCATATAGCACCGTTTTCTTTGCATTTGTTTGCAGCACTATGGCGCTCTTTACCTTCCCCTCACGCCATGAGCTTTCTTTACCTTTCACTCACTGGCACTTTTTTTTTTCCCCTTTCAATTTCACCATAATTTTTAACATGACATTATGTTATTGTGGTTATAATGGTTATCTCATAGGTTATTCCCATCAATGAGATGCTTTGAAGAGTCAAATTTATGACTTCGTAAATTAGTTTTGGTTCCCCTGGTCCAGTACATTACCAGAAAGTACTTCCAGAGCCCAGCAGTACTCAAAAATGTTCCAAAACAGACACTGCTAAGCAAGTTACCCAGTGACCCAGTGAAATAGGACTATTGGTATTTTCTTTTTTTTGTTAATGACGTGTGATAAATCCTTTACTAAATGCGCCTTACCTGTGTAATTGGCATCACTCGTTCCATCTTCACCATCCTGTCTCTCAGTGCTCGTATCTCTTCATCCTTCATATTGTTTTGCAGTTTTACCTCCTGCAGAATATCTGTCAGCTTATCTATGTGTGCCTTCAGATCTTGAACTCCACCACTACCTTTGCCCCCTCCATCATCTTCTCCTACTCCCACTGTGTCCCAAACATCCCGAGCAACTGCTTGACACCATTCCTTCTCATTGCCATCCCACTTTCCGTAGGTGCGGCACAGCTCCTTCATCTTGATGACAGACATGGCCTCAATCTCTTGCCTGTTGTGTTTAAAGTCATTGAGGGCTACTTCATAACAAATCTCCTTCACTGCTTGCATCTTCAAGTCTGCTAGTGTCAACCACCTTGGGTCTTTCCCTAATCTACGCCTTTGAGGAATCTGGTAGACTTTGATAGGTTCCCGTCTTTTGCCACTGCTTGGTAGACCACAGCGACGGACGATGCTCTGCACCCGACCTGCAGGCACTTTATCTCTGAGTGAAGTTATCAGCCGCCAGCTCTCTTCACAAGAACGCTTGTCTGAATCATCTCCACTGTCCGAGTCACCATACTGCTCGGTAAAGAAATGAGAGAACAGATCAGTGTAACAGTGAAAACAATAAAATACAACCCTGTAACATAAACCTACACAAAATATAATACACACTCTGTGAAGTACCTATATTTCTCCAGGTTGGGGGTCAGAGGACGTTCTGATGGGCCAATAAAAGACACACATACAACTAAGGGCTATTATATAAAACTCAAGTGTGGGAAACAAAATCTCCAGTTCAGCTTTAGCATAGGTTTAGCAATTAGTTTCGCTAAGCTGCCCCATCACTGTAAATCAGGTTGAACAAATCTGACCTTGATAAAGTGATTTACTAATTTAGCATGGTCAGTGCTGCTGGGGACCATCCCTGGGAAACCAGGAAAGCTGGTTTAGATCATCCTAAACAGTGAAATATTGAACAGGGCGACGGTGTAGCTGTATTGATCACGTTGCTTAGCATGTCCAAACAGATACCTCCTTAATAAACAGCCGGCAGTGCTCACAGACTACGCTTGCCATTCAGTGTGCCAGACTGGCGGGCCTGGGACTTCGTATAGAGAAGCCAGCCTGGTTATTATTGTCAGACTGACGGGCCAGGGACTTGGTATAGAGAAGCCCGGTTATTGTCAGACTGACGGGCTGGGGACTTGGTATAGAGAAGCCAGCCCGGTTATTGTCAGACTGATGAGCCGGGGACTTGGTATAGAGAAGCCAGCCGGTTATTGTCAGACTGACGGGCCGGGGACTTGGTATAGAGAAGCCCAGTTATTGTCAGATTGATGGGCCGGGGACTTGGTATAGAGAAGCCAGCACGGTTATTGTCAGACTGACGGGCTGGGGACTTGGTATAGAGAAGCCCGGTTATTGTCAGACCGACAGGCTGGGGACTTGGTATAGAGAAGCGCGGTTATTGTCAGACTGGGGTGGCAGCAGGTAAATAATGATAACGAATGAACTATTCATGGAGATCACGTACCAATCTCTGCTGTTCCAGTGTCAGATCAGCTTCTTCCTTTTCTCTCTTATACTGGCACTCCAAATCCTGCAGCCTAAAACAGGAGAAAAGGTGTATAATTATTCAAATGGAAGAAAACTTTCCAGGACAAGAGGACCACAGGCACAAGTGATACACTTCATATTAAAAGGTAACAATATTACCTTTATTTAATCATGCATTTTTTTTAAAGCCAGGGGAATTTTCTCATCACAGAAAATAATGTGTAACGGTATAGTTGAAAGAAATCAAGACTATGTATGAAATACAGTCTGCTCTGAAAAAAAATAAATGAGAATTACATCTTTATTGCGCTTATGCCTTCCCCAGCATCACCTGAGCATTCTTTAATTCCTTTACTGTGTTAGCCTTATACACATCCTAAGCATTCTTCAAATCCTTTACAGTGTTAACCTTTGACACATCCCGAGCATTCTTCAATTCCTTTACTGTGTTAGCCTTTTACACATCCTGAGCATTCTTCAATAACTTTACTGTGTTAGTCATACACATTTTGACGGAACTCCTGTACACCGACCGAGTACCTCCACCCAGTCCGCTTCCTAGCCTCTTGCAGGGACCCTGGAACACTTCCGCACCAGTCGCCGAAGCTTGACAGGGGTCCTTCTGGATCTTTTCCACCGGACCAGGCTGCAGCTCTCCTTCCAGACAGGTATCGTCCCCTCTGCCTCATACACTGCAATCCTGCTTCCAGGCAGGTGTCCACATCCGTCTTTAAAAAGACACTTACGGCTCTCAGGCCTAGCTCTCTTGCTTTATCCGAGGGCTAGAGTGATCCATGAACCAGCAAACAGGTCCAAAGATTCTGTCACTGGGATCCCAACAAATCCACACGGGACACAAGTTCCAAAAAGAACTGACATCCAAAACTTTATTTTTCGAGGGGCTAGCCCATATGATTATAACAAAAGATTGCTGTGACAACTGAATATAAATACAAACCGTCAAATCATAGCAGGCAACATACAGCAACTTATAAAAAAAAAATACAAATTATAAATGGGTGGGGAAGACAACAGAAAATATCTCTGTCTGCAGAATTAGCAATATGTAAATTAACCAGTCTAGCTATTCAGGTAGTGTATTTTGCTGTTGCTACCAACAGAGGCTCCATAGCCAAATCCACCTAGTTGGTAGTAATCCTCAGCAGCACAGCAGAGCAGGCAAAAAAAACCTTTAACAGTATACACACACACACACACTATAAACAATTACATTACCCACACCCTGCACCTATAATAGGTTCAGGGTGACTAAAACATAAGAAAAGTTCAGCAACCTACATAGTCTGTCTGAAGGTCCAGGTGATGGTGACTACCGTCACACACATCCTGGGCATTCTTCAATTCCTTTGCTGTGTTAGCCTTATACACATCCCCAGCATTCTTCAATGTATTTATTGCGTTAGCCTTATACACATCCCGGGCATTCTTCAATTCCTTTACTGAGTTAGCCTTATACACATCCTGAGCCTTCTTCAATTCCTTTACTGAGTTAGCCTTATACTCATCGTAACGAAGTGCCATTCGCCACTTGTTTTTTGGAGAGGCCTGCTTGCCAGCCTCTTGCCTTGTGACTATGGCCCCTGGGATGTATTGCCCTTTAAAAACGTTATTTGGGCTTATGGACTTTTATTAGACTGTTTCTGGCCCTTTAAATGCTCTAGGAAAAGATCTGTACCTTTGCTATGGCAAAGTGCCGAAGTAGCCGCCATTAGACAAACGAACACATGGCGGCGGCCATTTTAATTTAGCCGAACTCTGTCAGCGGTGTTTTGCCGTCGAGTTCATGGAACTAAAATCAGATACTCGACGGCACGAACACTGCTGAAGTTTTATTTCTCTGTGATTTCGACACTTCGAACGCCACATTAACATTACCTATTTGCACGAACAGCTGCCGTTCATGCATTCGAACTGTGATGAATAGACCGGCTGCAGAGCCCAAATCTGTGGAACTGTTTAGGGCAGGAAAATGTGCGTGCGGTCAAAGGAGACTTCCAGCTAACTCCCGAACGGCTGAACGGATTCGCATGAATTTTGGATATGCTGTTACCTTAATTATGTTGTTTCTAAAAATGTAAGTTTTATGCGAATGTGATGTATAATTTTAAAGTTATAGAAAGTGTGTAAAAAGTATGTTTTTTCGCTTGGAGATAATTGAGCTGATACAGTAATTAGCCCAATTATCTCCCAAGCAGAGGGGGAGGAGTTTACTGTAATGAATGGGAGTGTTTAACTGTGCGCCTGTATATGATTGGTTGTTACGTTTGTGGTTTCAGTACCCAACAAGGTCCACGTGGGTGGTAACCTTGTGGGGAAATGTGTATAAAGAAGCAATAAAGCCTCAGTGCATTCTGTTCCTGTTTGACCCTTAACACGTAGTCTTGTCTCGTAATTGGAGGGGAACTGCTATATTCACACTGGGGATTGCTATACCAGGGGGTATACTCCCCTGAGCTTTAATCACTTGGCTCTTTTAAGAGCTGTTCCTGATACGCTATCCTGGAGGAGAGGTCTTTTCCACACGGTCCTGGAGAACAGAAGCTGATCCAGGGTGGAAGGAAGACGGCAAGACTCCAGTTAAGCTACGATGGTTGTGGAATCAGCGGTGGTTGGGGTGTCCGGTGCGGTGCGGTGCAAGCTAGGAAGCGTCCATCAACAGAAGGTATTTGGTCGAAGTACAGGTGATCCGTTACACACATCGTGAGCATTCTTCAATTCCTTTACCGAGTTAGCCTTATACACATCCCGAGCATACTTCAATTCTTTTACTGTGTTAGCCTTATACACATCCTAAACATTTTTAAATTCCTTTACTGTGTTAGCCTTATACACATCCACAGCATTCTTCAATTCCTTTACTGAGTTAGCCTTCTACACATCCTGAGCATTCTTCAATTCCTTTACTGTGTTAGCCTTCTACACATCCTGAGCTTTCTTCAATTCCTTTACTGAGTTAGCCTTACACACATCCTGAGCATTCTTCGATTTCTTTACTGTGTTAGCCTTATACACATCCTGAGCATTCTTCGATTTCTTTACTGTGTTAGCCTTATACACATTCTGAGCATTAGATTTCATACTGTGATACATACACACAAACACCCTACTTCAAACCACCTCTGAGTCCAGTTTTCATATTGCAGTGAGAGCTAAATCCACATTTAAATTAACCATAATTTGACACCAACACTAAAGCTGTGGATTATTTCAGATTAGAGTAATTCTGTTTATTTGCTAGTGGTCAGGTTCCTGAATAATGAATTAAGTGTAGCAGGACGTTAAGTGCTATAACACAAATGGAGGCCAGACTAACTAACAGGCATTATTAAAATATTCTCACCGTTTCTCCATCTCCAGTTTGATGTCTATTCCCTGCTTCTCCAGCAATTCACGCTGAGCGAAATTCCAGTCAACTGTCTCTGCTTGATTCTCAACTGCGATACTGCTTCTCTCTCGCTCCAGACGCGCTTGTTCGGGGTGATTGAACCGAAATACGTGGTTTTTACCCATAACAATTCGATTACCTGTATGTAGAAGACACAAAACGCCACCACTGGCTGTTACTGATTAATACAAGCTCTGTATACAACAATAAATGTAACCGTTTGGTGGTTTTGCATCTAACCCAAAGTTTTACCCCCCAAAGCGTGATCTGCCTTAAATTAGGTTTTTGGAAGCAACATGATTAGCAAAGGTGAGATGTTGTCACACAAATTACTGATCTGCTGCTCCAGCTCAGTTTGGACATATAACATGAGGAACAGCGAACGCAACAGTGATATAATACATCACAGAAAGCTTTGTTAAGCATAGATAAGAGTATATGAAAACCATGCTAATAAAACAAATCATCATGGAGACGAAGAACAACTAATTTAAGGAACTATACCCTACAGAGTACCACCACAGGGAGCAAACCCGAAGGGAGATCCCAACCAGGTACCTGGCGATGCTGTACCAAGAGAGTCCCATGGCAGGTTAACAGACCCACAGACAACAAGTAGGAATTATTTATAAAATATTTTACCAGGAAAGATACATTGAGATTTATCTTGTTTTCAAGTATTTCTTGGGTTCACAAATCATTGCATTGTTACATTAGGATACAATATTACAAAAATAAAAAAAAATACAATATACAAACTAATTATATATATATATATATATATACACACACACACACACACATATACATACACACACACACGGGATGCACCTGACTGCGGTTTCCCTGAACACGTTACAGGGAGTGCCCAGATAGCTACAGGACACAATCTACACAGGGCTGTAATATCCGGATAGGAAAGGAGTGCCAGCTCCTGGGTCAGTCCCTGGTTCCCCTCCTCTGTCCAGGGGTGTGATGGCTCTCCTCGGGTTTGGGGTTAATTTGAGTTCCTTGACATATACACAGACCCACCAATAAGTTTAAAGCTATTGCCAATTCTGCCACCTACATAAATTCCTAAAAATGTCAGTATACACTTGTATGCTACTATTTTGGTTTCAAATGTGTACTTTGGAATGTCTTCAATTCCAAATACACGGTAGCACTAGTCTAGTGGCTAGTGAATACTTTTTTTTTTTTTTTTGCATGTGTTTCACTTGGCAACACAGCTGATACTGAAAATCGACTCTGTCATAAACTGTTCTCACTGCTGTGTAGATGAATTCACCCTGCTTAACTAAATGTAGATTTTGATATTACTTTCTGTCCAATCTTGGTATGTTACTTTCAATAAAAGTGTGGTTATTTGTTTAATTGGCTTGTAGTTTTTCATATTAGATTCATTAAAAAGTCTAATATAAATACAATTATAGAAAAAAACTATTTTAAAATCATTTTGGGAAAAAAGTCATTTTAGGTTTTTGGCAATGGGCATCCTGAATTTTTGGTTTCGGTGCATCCCTAATACACATACATACACATATATAAATTTAACACATAACCGGTAATAAATATAGCAAACTATGACAGGTGCATTCTGTATTGAGATATATTGCCAGAGATCTCTTAAAAGATTTTAGATTAAATGAAGATTTGACTGAGGTTTTTCCATAATTGCAGTGCTCTGTAGGAAAATGAGGATCGAGACACTTTATTTTTGTATTGCGGTATGCTAAATATCATGCAAGTACTAGATCGGAGGTTACAGGAGGTCGGAACAGCTGGGGAGAGCATTCTACTCCGGTAGGGTGGGAGCTTTCCAGAAAAGCTCTTATGCATAAGGCTGGAAAGATGAAGAGTGCGTAGGGATTCCGGGATTAAAATGTCACATTGGTGGGTCATGTAATTACATTGTAGCACAAAGCAGCAGAACAAATTATATAGCGTATTACGTTTATGAAGGTGGATTGCCGCTATCCACTTTTCTATCTCTGTGAACTGGTCTTTGATAATGGCTGCGGTAGCTTGGGTTTACTAGCGTAGATTACAGTGTCGTCTGCATACATGTGTACAGTTGAGGATTTGCAGACGTTGGGCAGATCATTTATAATGTGAATAGAAGGGGGCAGAGTATGGAACCTTGGGAAACACCACACGTGACTGGAAGAGGGAGGGAAGTGGCCACATATTGCAATCGGTCTGAAATGTACGATCGAAACCAGGTTAGCGGACGATCACCAGTACCAGAGTTAAGTTTTTGCAAAAGAATGCTATGGTCTTCTATGTCAAAGGCCTTGGCAAAATCAAGAAAAATAACTCCAGTTAGGTCTCCTTGTACCATGCCAATTGGGATGTCCTTGCAAACCTTTAAGAGGGCAGTCAAAGTTGATGATTTGGACAAAAGCCTTATTGATCAGAGGTCAGATAGTTTAGATTTTTCTCTATAGAAGTGACTCCCCTCTGTAGCTTCACTGAGGGGGATTTTGATAGAGGTTGTCTCCTATTTCAGGATCCCTCTTTCTGTTGACCCTTGAAGATTTTTGTTTCTCTACTCCCTATCCTGGCTTATATGATAGGAGTTGGTTTTGTCCTTATTTTACCCGTGTAACTGCCTGTTCACAAGAGGATAATCACTTACCCGGCTTTTAGACACATTTTACACCTTTAACAAGTGTCCCTCTGTGAATCTAGTAGCTAATTATTTTTCTATTAATAAATGTTAGGTTTTGTTTGGCTACTAGTCTATTAGTCTGTGCGCTTTCCCACTAACCCCCTCCTAGGGGAGGTCACTGGGATTTTGGCTTTCATTCATTCACATAGTTTGATTGTTTATAATATTCACATAGTTGCGTGTGGACGCATTTTGACAATACCGGGAGCAATGATATCGGCGATAGTCAGATACCAAAGTATTGTCACCACTTTTATGGATAGGTACAACTTTTGCAGTCTTCCAAAGTTTGGGTATGTATCCTGACACCAGGGATTCATTGATAAGGGTAGTGACAGGTTTAGCAATTGCTGGTATTCCATCTGGTCCACACTGGTTTTTCATTTTTAAATTATTAGGTTTGCTTATTAATGACATCAACAGGCACAGATCTAAAGCTGAATTCTCTATACTATATGATTTTACAGAATTCAAAGACAGTCTGATGTGTTCAATGCTGAACTAGAAAAAAGAAAAACAGTGGCCCTCCTGTGCGTGGCTGGTCTGATTTGGGTTTTAGTGGATCTGACATCCGCCACTATTGGCAGCTCTCCTTTCTAGGTGAAGCAGTAGGGTTAGTTCCCAAAATGTATCAGGTGCTTATTCTTCTCAATACAAATTTGTTTCATTTTCTATACTCTTACCTGAGCTTATCATATATACACACACACACCATCACTGCTGCGCTCCCTAATCCTTCTATTGATCCATGTACTATCTATAGGACGCTAGGTTCTGCCAGAGGAAGCTGCATATGCTTTAAAGTATAAATGTTTAGTCTTTACTGATATATAGTCCATTTTTGACTGGTGATTATGTCCAGCTCAGTTTGTATCACCTGATTTTAAAACCAAGGTCTGTGTTACTTGCTTCCCATTCACATATGTCTCCGCTCCTTCACAAGGCTCCAAAATGACAATTACTGTTGGAAAAATTAGAGAAGACAATTATTAAAAAACCTAAAACCAGCTGGGCTGTCTCAGTGGATGTCATATTGCCATTAATACCTTCTCCGTCGGTATTGGTTTTGCAGTGAAATAAACAGTGTTGTTCCATGATAAATTGGCCACTTAGTTTAATGTCAACATCGACCTGACCGACCCTGGCAAACAGAAAGGGAGAGGGGTCAGGCATTCATTGGGAATGAAGAGGCAAGAGGTAATGGAAGGTGCAAGATAAGGGACACTGGGCTAAACTCAGAGACAGTGAAGGGTTAGATAATAAAGTAAAGGGGTAAAGGGCTTGTTACCGTGTGATTCCCTCCTTTATATGATACAGCAAACACTCTGACATGAGAGGATCTTCGTTAAGATTTACCAGATGAGGGATCTGGAAAAATGCAAACAATGAAGATTAACCAGGCACTGCATGCAGTAGTCTTTATATTCACACACTGGCACACCATGCCAGAAGAACACAGATACCATGACAGCCATCCTCATCAACTGGGCTGCAAAGGAAGCAAGGATCCTGTATAGGGCAGTATTTTTGGACAAGGAGTGTTTTTGCACAGCCTGGCTTCCCAGGAGTATTGAATAAGCATGAAGGTGGCACGTGCCATGACCTTTCCATAATTAAGTAGTTCTGCAAGTTGTGGCTTCCTTGTAAAATGGGTGATCTTTTCTGGAACAGTCACTAGATAGATTACCTTTTTGGGGGAGAAGACCCCAACTGTTCCTCCATCTTCTCTTACAGCTACACCCATTTCTGCCAGCAAAGATTCTCTAGAGAGAAATGTAATGAAAAATCGGTCAAATTGTTTATTATACATTCACATTCCCTCACTCAGGACCAGATACTTGCTGTGCATTCTACACAAATAGTTAAATGTAATTTGCACCACACACCCTGTCACTTGCAGGCGAGAACCCCACATCATGCACCCAATCTCTTGCAGGTTACCCCACTGTGACAGAGCTGCACTACTGCAACTGAGTAACACCGTGAAAGTTCCCTCCCGCTGGAAAAGAAAGCTCTGAAGTGACCATAGCTTGTTTCCCCCTAAACACCAGACCACACTTTGTGAAGGGTAAAACCACTTTACAAGCACATATTTATAGGGAAATTCACAGCAAAGGGTCATTAACAGTGACAACAGACTCCAAATCCCTGGCGCCGCTGTGTGTGTGTGTGAGCGGGGAATAACTCAATTAACTGGGAATGATTTTATTAACTTTCAGACAACCGAGCGTCAACAACAGTAACCCCAAAACGTAACTTTCTCCAACAGTATATCGACAAATTAAACATCCCTGGACAGATAATTCCCATAAGCAAAAAGTCCAAAAAGCACCTGGATAGGATGGACCAAGCTGGAGTAATCATCGAGTATAGTTTAACCTGGCCACGACTATATTCTAATCCGGTGCAGAGTTCCAGGCTGGAGCTGACTATGGACCGGTCCCCAATAAGGAATTCTGCTGACTCCGGAGAAGAGGGCTCCACCAGGTTCTTGGTGTGCTTAGATTGGTTCTCATCTTCCCCTTCTCCACTCCCTGGGGAACTGAGCGGTGTAAGCTGTACTGGTCAGCCGATTCATATGAGTCTGATTTAGTTCTAGACTAGCTCCTGATCCCGCAGAAGGAGTTGTGATTGCCCCGGGCTGTAGAAAACATTCCCAGGGATAGAAAATAGTGTGCTTTGCTGCATGAGGGGTGGATGGAACAGGGGAAAAGGCCAGGGAGAGCGATTATGCTCTTTTAGGGGGAGTTAGCCTCAGTCCTGGACCAGTTGAATCGTGACCGCAGCAAGCTCCGTCACACCCACATCATGCACCCCAGTATTTGCAGGGTACATTATAATGCACCCCGTCCCTCGCAGGGTACCTCACACCACGCGCCACAGGGTACCTTATGTAACAGATCCCCCCCTTTTCCGTGGATCTATAATATATGTGTACCAGCGTCCTACCCTGTTGCCTGGGAACCTCTACCTTTTTACCTTCCTGCCATCATCCACATTGCCCCACACGTAAGGATAAAAACGGTTTCTGGCCCTTTAACTGTGTTGTGCAGAGAATGGGTACATTTGATAGGGCACTTCGGATACAGCTGAGGTGCCGAAGTAGTCGAAGTGGCCGCCATTAGACAGTCGAACACGTGGTGGCGGCCATTTTAATACAGCCGAACAAGGTCAGTGGTGTGTGCCGTCAAATCTCTGGAACGGAAATCGGTCACACATTTGCACGAACACCGCTGACCTGCACCGTCCCCTACCCTTTGACACTGCGACTAAGTCCCATTCGAATATTCGAACACACATTCGATTGGGACTTTGTCATCTTTTCATGTGAAATCGACTACCACTCACCTAACAACCATCGAGGAAGTTTACCCCGTTTGACTTCGACAGAAATCGAAGTGCGTTCGAATATTCGAACACCGCCTTCGGATGTGACTCTGTTATTTTTCAAGGCAGAAATAGACCGACCGCACAGTCTGAATCTGTGGAACTGTTTTGGGCATGCAAACAGGCGTGCGGCCGGTCCAAAGAGACTTTTCAATATCTCTGGAACCCCTGAACGGATTCGTACGAATTTTGAATATGTTTGTCCACAAGTTGTGTTGTTCATAAAAATACAAAAGTTTTATTCCTGTAGGATGAAAAATCATAAAGTTATAAAAATGCCTAAAAAGTATAAGTTTTAGCTTGGAGATAATTGAGTAGATACAGTAAGAAACTCAATTATCTCCCAAGCAGAGGGGAGGGAATCTGTGGGTTGTAACCGTTGTCTGATTGGTTAACGTCTAATTGTCTGTGGGCGTCTCCCTTGCAGGGGAGCACTGCATAAAAGCAGAGTGTGTGTCATTAAACCTCAGTTATTCTTCACCCGCAATCTAGAGTCCTGTCTCTTATTGGGGGAATTGCTATACTCTGCATGCTCCCTTGGATAATCACTTCCAAGCTCTTGTAAGAGCTTGTTCCTGCTTCGCCCTCTGAAGGAGACCCCAACCAAGCTGCGGCGGTTCGTGGGGTCTGCGGTGGTTATGGTGTCTGCTGGAGCGCTTGGAGCCTTCTGTAAGCGCTAGGAGCCTCCTTCAACGGAGGTACCCAGTCGGGGTGCCAGGCGATCCGTTACACCTTACACCACGCGCCCCATCTCTCGCGAGGTACCTCACACCACACTCCCCATCTCTCGCAGGGTACCTCACACCATGCGCCCCATCTCTCGCAGGGTACCTCACACCACGCGCCCCATCTCTCGCAGGGTACCTCACACCACGCGCCCAATCTCTCGCAGGGTACCTCACACCACGTGCCCAATCTCTCGCAGGGTACCTCACACCATGCGCCCCGTCTCTCGCAGGGTACCTCACACCATGCGCCCCGTCTCTCGCAGGGTACCTCACACCACGCTCCCCAGTCTCTTGCAGGGTACCTCACACCAAGCATCCAGTCTTTTGCAGGGTACCTCACACCAAGCATCCAGTCTCTTGCAGGGTACCTCATACCATGCACACCATTACTGACAGGGTGTCTCATATCACCCTGTAACTTGAACAGCACTATATTAGTCATACTGCATTTCAACACTGGCAACTGGTCTCTTGCAGCCCTCCATCAATCACTTTTAATGTACTTCCAAGACTAAAAGCTGTGCTACTCGCCAGGTCATAAAAGTTACTGGCCACTGCAAGAGTAGAAAAGCCTTGTATAGTTACCCTGTGTCTCATCAACCTAACATGTGTGGTCCCATGCAGTCAGCCTGTCATTACCTCTCCATCCGGATTGCTTCCGTCTTCCGTAGTTTATCTTCCCAGGTCTCATTCAGCTCAGCAATGATCTTCTCTGTCTCCTGCAGCCTCTCCATTGCCTCCTCTGTGCAGATGTCAGCCCCATCTTCCACTTCTGAGAAGGGCTCGGACTGGCCATTCATAGCTGGAGAAGGGGATGGTGGCATGGGTCCTGGCAAGGAGGGAGGGGAGAGGGGCGCAGGGGGCTGTGGCAAGGAATGAGGAACAGCTGCAGTGTCATCGAAAGCAATATCTGCAAAGGGAGGAATAACCAGTTATATGAACAGGGAGCAAAGCTACACCACTTGGCTGGCTGAGATTAATGGGATCTTTTGTCTGTTACAGGAATTACAAACTAATCGAGAAACACTGTTTTGATCCAACTCAGATTAAACTACTGCTGGGGATAATGGAAATATTAGTCAATCACCTGCTAATCCTTGACTGTACAGCAGTTGCCTCAGCCTGGCCACCTCTTCCTTCAGCTCCCGAATAAGCCGGGCGTTCGGATCTTCATTTATGATGGCATTACATTTTATCTGCTTCGCACGATCCGCGTACCTGGAGAGAGCAGTAAAAAATACACAAATTATAGTTCTTTATAAGCAATACCCATTTGTTTCTTTGCTTTCCTTCATTTTAGAATATTGGCTGCTGGTAATGGCGAATCATGTAATTTATAATGCATTAGACTTCTCCCAGTAACCTGTAAGGACCTTCTAAACGTGTCACAGAGTTCTAATCACTGCTGTTCTAGGAGGAGGTTCCACGTATTGAATTTAAACTGCAGAGATGACACAGGTTTACATAGTACATCTACATATTCACCAAACACTTCCAAATTGGGCATTTAGAAAACTCCCAGCTGAGTTTCCAGCCATTCAGATTATTCACCAAACCTCAAACTGTAGTGAATTGTAAACCGAATTACAAACATTAAGCCTGAATCTGAATGTTGTGTATTGTAGAGCACTAGACAAACTTGCTCTTTAATGGATAAACCTCACCACTGGGAGAACAATATAAAATTAAATTATGTAATGAAGCATGGCCTATTTTTTTTCCAAGCAGTATTTGTGAATGGGAAGCTATTGTCTTACCTTCTGCACTCCAGATGTTTTGGACCACATCTCCCATAATTCTCTTACAGCCATAATGTTGGCAAAGCATCACGGAAGATGTAGTTCGCAACACCTGGAGTGCCGAAGGTTGCCTAACTTGGCTTAAAGCATTATCTGGCAAACGGGGCTGCAGACCCAGCACTGGAGCACAGACTTTGTTCCTGGCCCCATAACTTTATTTCACTTAAACCTGTTTTGGTGCCTAAACAGTTCCTTTGGTGCATTTAATAGGATTTGTCCTCCTACTCATGCTGTGTTTTTCCTCCCTGAGCACATGCTTCTCAGGATTGTCTATAACCCAACACGCAGAACCAAAATAAAGAATAGTAAACCCTCAACATATCACCGGAACTTAAAAACCAGAACTAACAGGACAAGGGGAGGTCAGCAGTACAGAGAGAAGGTAAACGGTGAGACAAGTCATAGGTCAAATACACAGAGAAATCAATGGAAACGCACTCTTGGATAAACCACAATGGGAAATCACAACAGGGCATCAAATAACTGCAACATTAATTTAAATAGTCCTAAGAGGTCTGTGATTCGCTATTTGCGAATGCGTGAGACATCACAAGCATGATCGCCTCTTAATGGGAGGCATAGCCATAGAATGGCTCATCTGTGCAGTGGTCAGTAATTGCACTGAATGCGAAGGCTGCCAACAAAAAGGGAGACTCCTGCAGCACCCCCAGGACTCTGAACAGCTGCATGGGAACATGGCGGTAGTAAGAGCGTCCAGCATGACAATACACAGCTCAGCCAATTATAGACCAGAGTGAGCCGAGTTGCTAACTTGCCTCTGCCACCACATCTAAAGATAATACGTGGATATTATTAGTCAGTGTGGTGGATTGATAGCAGTTCAGAATACAGCTAATAAGGAAGCTGCTTTGGGAAAAGAGGGAGCTTGGCTAAAGGTACAGAAAGCTGCAAAATGTTTTAATTTTTTTTTTTTTAACCAAATTTATTAGATTTGAATTTAAAGAAGAACAGCATGAGTAGGAGGCCAAAATCCATCAAATGCCCAGGGGGTATGGTTACACCTCACATGTAACCAGCATGCAAAGCCTTTTGGGAAGATATAAAATGGCGCTTCTGTAGACCAGTACCTGAGCGTGCTGAGCGTCTCTTCGTAGTTAATATCTGCCGGGCTTAGAGCAGCAATCATGGCTGTGCGGGAGTTCCCACCTATGACAGAAAAACGACAAGATCAGAATGTGTGCATTGCATAGCAAGCTTATCGCCAGTTAACGGGAGAACAACCACAAGTTACAGTTACATCAGTTTTCTTTGTGAGTGATGAAGACCAGTCATGTTCTTTGAACTACCATCAATAAGCAGGACAGTCCATGCAGGTGTTGCGTCTCCAGGGAAACAAATATATGTAGTAAACTCAGAACATCAAACACATATGGGGAATATATATATATATATCTATCAAAAAATAAAATAAAAAAATCACCAGCTGCCAAGGTTTCAGTCCTCTTTATGAAGATCCTTGCTAGAGGGCTTACACATTTGAAGCTTTCTGAATCTTTCATCGTCTTATAATACAAGACCCTTGAGGGCTCACTATATTTAAGCCTGGATAATCACCTGTGCATAGAATTTTATCCACTATACTGTGAGTGAGGTTTATCTATAATTCATTAATAATAAAGATTAATATTGCACTGTATTATAGGTTAGCTGCTCTGCATTCCATTAAACATTAGCAGAATACAAAGGGAGCCTATCCATTAAAGTATGGTAAACACACTTCACCCATTTCTACCTAGAGAATAGGAAAAGGACAATGTCCTGTACACAGCTCTGGATACCGTTATCAGATGTATTGATACGTGGACAGATAGCAAGGTGTCGCTCCCACCTGGACCCACCTAAATTCTCCTTGAGGAGCCAAGTCAGGGCAGAGTCGCGATAAGGGATGAAATCAGATCTTCTCTTCTTACTTTGCTGGAAGAATGAACAGAGATTGAGACAATCTTATTCCTGGCTCTAAATGTAATAGCGCCGTCAGATGACCTCATCAAAAGGCGCCAGCAGCAAGAAACTTACCATTCAATGACCAGCGCCCTGTGCAGCATTAGAGAAAGAGATACAAGACAAGCTGAATGTCACAGGGGAGATATGCCAGTCACTGTGTTTATTTCAATGACTACGTTTATATAGAGGTTTGCATTTGTAAGCAGTTTTTCAGATCTCCGAAACATAAGACTTGTTTTTACATTCCATTTTAACATTCATTATTCACAAATGGATCCTGTCCACAAAGATTAATAATGTTCACATGATAGTCTTCATTAGATTTAACCCGTTCATGGCTAGTTCCTGGCCTAACAATGCGTTTTTACAGACTGAGGGATTATGTCGAGATGGTGACATTTCTTCTTTTGTGATACGGTGTGGGCTCTTACAGCTTCATTCTCAAGGCCGAAGGGCCAGATATAGCAGACATACCCATACATGGTAAGGAGTATATGGAAAGGAGAGACAGCGCTAATTAATAAACAGGCAGCAACCTTAAAAAGGGAAACCCTCCAAGCCCTTTTAAAACAAGACAGTAAAAACAATAATAAAAGGCTGCGCCAATAAGAGAGTAAAAATAGAGTGACTAAGAAAAAATGTCCAACGTAATAGATAAAAAAAAAAATAAAAGTTCAACTTAAGTGTCCTTGCGGATAGTCTTTATAGTAAGTGTTGCAGCAGTGAAGTCTTCATAAGCTGTATAGGTTCCACTCATATAAAAGACAAAAGGGGAGAGAGAAGGACGACCAGTAGTGCAGTATTGTATAATTCCAAAAGTGACGTATGGAAAGATAATATTAAACAACTCACATTTAATAGAGCTTATGTCCAGCTCTAGGATAGAAGCGCATACAGCGGTATAATCCCCGCTTGTGGGATATGCTGTGGGTTTCTCTCCGTCAGTGGTGTCCAATTCTCAAACAAGGAAAAAGAGAGACAACCGATAGTGCTCACTATTTAAGTAGTCTTAATATAAGTAGATGAAAACGTACTTACAAATGAGGAGCAGACCAACTGCTCTTGTGTATCAGCATAGGTGGATTGATCCCCACCTTTAGGATTTCTTGGAGTGCAGGAGACTTCCGAAGTCAGTGTTGGTATATAGTAGTAAAATGCTAAAAATATACTAAAATATACTAAAAAGCCAGGTATAAAAAGAGTAATGTGTATATAAAACTATAAAAAAGAATAGTTGGCACAAATAAATTACCAAAAATTGCTTTAATATTACAATACACAGTATAAAATATCCATAACGCGTTTCGTCAACAGACTTTATCAAATGGAATAGCAAACATTACCTGGCTAGTTGTATTATATAGGAGTTTAAATTTGGCGCCAAAAATGGTCCATCCAATCAAAATTAAGTTACATTTGGTAGTATAAAAACTTTAAAATACAGCAATAAAACCAAAGTATAGGGTCTAAGAACACTCATAATTGACTTTGATGACCAAAACGAAGGTTTTAAAAGCATAAATTAAATGATTAAAAATGCGCACGTGACGCGCGGCACTTCCGGTTTTCGGACTATATGCCGCTATGCTTTATGGGAGATGTAGTTGGTAAGCCGCGAATGGCGGCTAGGAGTGTAATATAGGTGCTGCCAAATATTGGGGGACATAGAAGCAAAAGCCCACAAAGAGGGCAAAAACTAAAATACATTAGACACTCTGCTAGTAGAAATGAAAGTATTAAAAGCATAAATAAAGCACGTGACTTACGGCACTTCCGGTATTCGGACAAAATGCCGCTATGCTTAGTGGGAAATGTAGTCGGCTGAAGATAAGCTCGATCAAATTAAAGGGACATGAAAACAAAAGTTCCCAAAAAGGGAGCTCTATATAAGAAAGAGATGGCAAAATTAAAAGGGACATATAATTGGTGGGGCCATATACTAAAGGGGCACATGTATATGAAATATAAATAAAATAAATTAAGAAATAATAAAACAATTTTGTAAATGCAGAAAATCATAAATAAAAAATACAGTTTGAGCAAGGTAAAAGGCATTGGTGTAAAACAGACATGTAAAATACTTTTGTGTTACAAAAAATTATATAGGTCAAAGTCTGCATTAAGGCCATGGGGTATAAGGGTCTTAAGGTTATACACCCATTCCATTTCTATTTTCCCAAGTAGTTTTTTTATGTCTCCTCCTCGCCAGGGGGTAGAACATTTTTTTATACCAATACATTTTAGAGGTTTAGGATCTTTGTTATGCATAATAAAATGTTTGGATACTGTATGATTTAAGTATCCATTTTTGATATTTCTGCAATGTTCGCTCAATCTTGTTTTTAAGCACCTTGTGGTCATCCCCACATATTGGAGACCACATGGGCATTCGAGCAGATAAATAACATTTTTAGTATTGCAGCCGATAAAATCATAAATATTATACATTTTTTAAGTCTTATTGGACATAAACTGAGTAATTTTAGATGGGGTAGATGGATCTGTGGTTCTACACACTATGCATTGTTTGCATTTATAAAAGCCTTTTGTTTGTGGGAAGAAAGAGAAACCCCTAACTGGCGATTCTCGAGTAAAATTGGTGGTTAAAATGGATTTAAAATTTGGTGCCCCTCTAAACACGATATTTGGTTGGTTGGGTAAAATTGAGTTTAAAATATCGTCTTCTTTAAGTATATGCCAATGTTTTTTTATAATTTTTTTGACATTATTACTTTTGCTATTGAAGTTAAAAATAATAGGAAGAGATATTGATTCATCCTTTTCTTTATTCTTATAAGTCAGAAGATCTTTTCGTTCTTTTTGTTTAACTGTATTAATTGTGTTATTGAGCTCTGATTCTAAATATCTTTTTTCCATAAATTTATTTTTTAAGGATATTAGCTTGTTCATTAAAATCTGTTATTTCTGAACAGTTCCTACGAAGACGTAGGAACTGGCTCTTTGGAGCACTCTCAAGCCAAGGCTAATACAGTTAAACAAAAAGAACGAAAAGATCTTCTGACTTATAAGAATAAAGAAAAGGATGAATCAATATCTCTTCCTATTATTTTTAACTTCAATAGCAAAAGTAATAATGTCAAAAAAATTATAAAAAAACATTGGCATATACTTAAAGAAGACGATATTTTAAACTCAATTTTACCCAACCAACCAAATATCGTGTTTAGAGGGGCACCAAATTTTAAATCCATTTTAACCACCAATTTTACTCGAGAATCGCCAGTTAGGGGTTTCTCTTTCTTCCCACAAACAAAAGGCTTTTATAAATGCAAACAATGCATAGTGTGTAGAACCACAGATCCATCTACCCCATCTAAAATTACTCAGTTTATGTCCAATAAGACTAAAAAAATGTATTATATTTATGATTTTATCGGCTGCAATACTAAAAATGTTATTTATCTGCTCGAATGCCCATGTGGTCTCCAATATGTGGGGATGACCACAAGGTGCTTAAAAACAAGATTGAGCGAACATTGCAGAAATATCAAAAATGGATACTTAAATCATACAGTATCCAAACATTTTATTATGCATAACAAAGATCCTAAACTTCTAAAATGTATTGGTATAAAAAAATGTTCTACCCCTTGGCGAGGAGGAGACATAAAAAAACTACTTGGGAAAATAGAAATGGAATGGGTGTATAACCTTAAGACCCTTATACCCCATGGCCTTAATGCAGACTTTGACCTATATAATTTTTTGTAAGACAAAAGTATTTTACATGTCTGTTTTACACCAATGCCTTTTACCTTGCTCAAACTGTATTTTTTATTTATGATTTTCTGCATTTGCAAAATTGTTTTATTATTTCTTAATTTATTTTATTTATATTTCATATACATGTGCCCCTTTATTATATGGCCCCACCAATTATATGTCCCTTTTAATTTTGCCATCTCTTTTTTATATAGAGCTCCCTTTTTGGGAACTTTTGTTTTCATGTCCCTTTAATTTGATCGAGCTTATCTTCAGCCGACTACATTTCCCACTAAGCATAGCGGCATTTTGTCCGAATACCGGAAGTGCCGTAAGTCACGTGCTTTATTTCATTTGCTGAATTTATGATTTTAATACTTTCATTTCTACTAGCAGAGTGTCTAATGTATTTTAGTTTTTGCCCTCTTTGTGGGCTTTTGCTTCTATGTCCCCCAATATTTGGCAGCACCTATATTACACTCCTAGCCGCCATTCGCGGCTTACCAACTACATCTCCCATAAAGCATAGCGGCATATAGTCCAAAAACCGGAAGTGCCGCGCGTCACGTGCGCATTTTTAATCATTTAATTTATGCTTTTAAAACCTTCGTTTTGGTCATCAAAGTCAATTATGAGTGTTCTTAGACCCTATACTTTGGTTTTATTGCTGTATTTTAAAGTTTTTATACTACCAAATGTAACTTAATTTTGATTGGATGGACTATTTGTGGCGCCAAATTTAAACTCCTATATAATACAACTAGCCAGGTAATGTTTGCTATTCCATTTGATAAAGTCTGTTGACGAAACGCGTTATGGATATTTTATACTGTGTATTGTAATATTAAAGCAATTTTTGGTAATTTATTTGTGCCAACTATTCTTTTTTATAGTTTTATATACACATTACTCTTTTTATACCTGGCTTTTTAGTATATTTTAGTATATTTTTAGCATTTTACTACTATATACCAACACTGACTTCGGAAGTCTCCTGCACTCCAAGAAATCCTAAAGGTGGGGATCAATCCACCTATGCTGATACACAAGAGCAGTTGGTCTGCTCCTCATTTGTAAGTACGTTTTCATCTACTTATATTAAGACTACTTAAATAGTGAGCACTATCGGTTGTCTCTCTTTTTCCTTGTTTGAGAATTGGACACCACTGACGGAGAGAAACCCACAGCATATCCCACAAGCGGGGATTATACCGCTGTATGCGCTTCTATCCTAGAGCTGGACATAAGCTCTATTAAATGTGAGTTGTTAATATTATCTTTCCATACGTCACTTTTGGAATTATACAATACTGCACTACTGGTCGTCCTTCTCTCTCCCCTTTTGTCTTTTATATGAGTGGAACCTATACAGCTTATGAAGACTTCACTGCTGCAACACTTACTATAAAGACTATCCGCAAGGACACTTAAGTTGAACTTTTATTTTTTATTTTTATCTATTACGTTGGACATTTTTTCTTAGTCACTCTATTTTTACTCTCTTATTGGCGCAGCCTTTTATTATTGTTTATACCCATACATGGTACCTGGACATCATTTAAATACATAGAACGGTCTTCCCTCTTTCTGAAACTCAATCTCTCTAAAACTGAGCTCCTTGTCTTTCCTCCTCCTAATACTGATCCTTCTCTCTCGCTCTCCCTTCAAGTCAGTGATATCAGTCCATCCTTGCAAGTGCGCTGTCTTGGCGTCATACTTGACTCTGGCCTCACCTTTGAGCCTCACATGCAGTATGTTGCCAAATCCTGTAGATTCCAACTTAAAAACATAGCCCGTATCCGCCCCTTTCTTACACAAGATGCTACCAATGAGCTTGTCCATGCTCTAGTAATTTCCCACATGGATTATTGTAACCCTCTCCTAATGGGTCTTCCCAAAAGCCATATCGCCCCGCCTCAGTCTAATGAATGCCGCCGCCAGACTGATTTTCCTCTCTAGCCGGTTCTCTCATACCTCACCCCTCTGAAAGGCTGTTTCCTACAGGAGTCAATTCAAAGTGCTAAGCCATACCTATAAAGCACCGAACAATTCTAGCCCCTCTAATATCTCTTTACAGATCCATAGGTATGCCCCTCCTCGTTCCCTCTGCTCTGCCCGTGACCACCTCCTGACCGCTGCTCTCAGGCGGCCAACTCATGCAGGCAGAACTTCTCGCAGGCGGCTCCCTTCATATGGAACAGCCTGCTTACCGCCATCAGACTCTTATCCCGTCTTCAGTCATTTAAGAAGTGCCTTAAAACCCATTTCTTTAGGAAAGCTTATGGACTCCCAGAGTAACCTCTACCTTACACACCTGTCTCTTGCTCTCTCCTCCAGCTCTGCTTCACTCCCACCTTATTTGATTGATATTTCCTGTCCTAATGTGTTTATACCCCACCTCCTATAGACTGTAAGCTCGTTTGAGCAGGGTCCTCTTCAACCTATCGTTCCTGTAAGTTTTCTTCTAATTGTCCCATTTATAGTTAAATTCCCCCTCTCATAATATTGTAAAGCGCTACGGAATCTGCTGCCGCTATATAAATGGCAATAATAATAATAAGACAACATGCACAAATACACAACATACATATAGTAACTGTACAACACACAACATACATACACTGCACTAATACAAAGCACATATACACACACACACACTAAATGTACAACACACAGATACACACAATTCCCCCACCACATTATCTTCTGTAGCTTTCTAAATCTTGTGTCATTTAATCTGGCTCACTCCCACCTTGACCGATGCAGGTATATACCGCCCCCAAATCACAGCTCACCACATTTCCCTATTAGTTGCCTGCGCACTCCACAGGTATACAGCCACTCACAGCACTGATTTAACTGATACTCACCATGTCAGCCAGAGCAGAAATCACCTTGCCCAGGGTGGTGAGGGACTTGTTAATGTTGGCACCTTCCTGGGGGAGAAAGGCAAAGTTTGGAATAAATTTGGGAGCTCAGTGTGTTGCCGAGCACAGTCAGAACCAGGCACCATCACTTACCTTAAGCCTCGTCCCTTTAGCTCCTGAAGAGTCAGCTCTTTCACTCCCAGCTAAATCCACCAGGCTTATTTTACTGACCTGCAACACAGATTTGGAAAAATCTGCTCTAGTCACAGCTTGTTTGGGTTTCAATACACTGTTTAGTGAAGAAATCTCTTTGTATTAATTTGTTAATGGGGTCTCTGCCCTCCACTCCCTGATTGTCAGTCTAGTTCCCTTAACCTTCCCTGTCAATCGTCTATGTAACCCTACTTTTGTATGATAAGTTTCATGTTTAATATCAGTGGCCTAAGGCTGAAATGGATATGATTAATCTATTCCCTCCAATGAAGATACAATAAAATGGCATAGGAACCACTGATTAATGCGGTTAAGCAGTTACCGTACATATATTCTATACATAATGTTATGCGGTTGCAGTGCAGCCTGTGCACACTCACCTTCTCCGTGTCTAGATTGGTCATTTCGTCATGTCTCTTCTGCGTGAAGACAATGGTGAACACAGCGTGGGATCGGCTGCTGGTCTCATTCATGTTGGTGGCTGCGACTGTCCTATTAAGGAATTAATAAGAGCGAATTAGCTCTTTAAAAGGCACCTGTCATCAGACCATGAATCTGTTTTAAGCCTGCCTTCACACAGTACTGATGGCTTTACAAAGTAAACGTGACTTTCTGTAGTTACGATGAGCATTCTGTATTAGAAAGGATGGCATCCAACACATGTTCACTGAGCCCTCCATAGCACCCATAGATTGACCTCAACACGGCCGCCGCACAGATAAATAATTAACACTTCCACATTATACATTTCAATTTTCTTCTGCCTGGACAGTGCAGGAGAGAGCTGGGTTCTCCACCCACCACTGTCATACAGATTGCATGGAAAGAACAATGAAAATGTAGACATTTAAATTCGGTCTCGCAGGCTCCTCCACAGACATCCATGCTGTACTCTTACGCATGACCAAGAGAACAGAACTGACATAGTGGATCAAGTACCAGAATTTAAACAGATTTCCAGAACATAGGTCATTGGGTTAATGGAAAGTGGATTCCAGTACAGTGGGAGAGGTTAAGGGTTTGGGTTAAAAAGAAAGAAGGCTACTATCTTTGGATTTTCTGGAAAGGCAGCATAACTTCTGTGGTGCAATCACAGGGCCTTCTATAAGCCAAGCTCCATTACCGAGTGAGGTCACAGAGCCTATTGTCCTGCTGTAGGTATTGTTGTAGAAATCTGTAAGAGATCACTCCGCTTTCTAGAACAGAGTCTCAGCTGCAGCTGTGCAAATATAAACAGTTTCAACTAAACAAGTGAATGAAATGGTTTTGCAAAAAGAAACTGCAGTTCAATTAGGTTGTTTATTATTTTTTTTTTAATAAACCCACTAGCAAATCCTGGACTACATATCCCACAAACCTTTCAGCAGACTATACGATATGTAGAGAGTGTTTGAACTTACAACAATGGGAAGTCATTACGGGCTGAGAAATCCCAGTTACTTCCTGGTGTCCAGAGAAAGAAACGTCCCATTGGTCTCCAACCCATATTATCCATGCATTACCAATGGGGAATACCCAAAACGGAGGGGATTGAGTTAAGAGTTACCTGGCCTTGTTACCGCAGTCCATGAGGTCAGCGATATCGTGGAACGAGGTCACTGCAAGCTTGGATAAATCCTCGACATATGGCCCCATAATGGGGTGTTCCCGAACTCGCAGGTTTCCTTTGCTTTTTGGACTCAGGAGATCCCGAACTCGCTCACAATAAATCTCCATGTAGCTCACCTAAATTTAGAGGACAGACATGTAAAATCACAGGGGGATGGAGGGTCAGCGAGATCCTGACATGCTGGGGGCCACGATTTCTTACCTCTACTGAGAACGACAGGTCTGGGCTCTGATTACTGCACACCCGGGCAAATAAATCTTCACATAACTGCAAGAAAAACAGCATCAGCCAGGACTTTATGGGCTTGTTACGGACAGGTTCCACCTGTTCACTACAGTCTTCCTTGACCCACACATCTGATCTAATACACCACATTCTGCTCAAAGGAAACATCCTAGGTGGATTCACCTGTGTCAAGATGGCCCAGATCACCAGCTCATTTATCTTTGGATCAGTCAGATACTGCACCCCCATTCATGCTGTACCTGTGTGATGATCTCAATCACTAGCCCTAAGTTTGGATTAGATACTGCACCCCCATTCATGCTGTACCTGTGGGATGATCTAAATCACTAGCCCTACGTTTGGATCAGATACTGCACCCCATTCCTGCTGTACCAGTGGGATGATCTAAATCACTAGCCCTAAGTTTGGATTAGATACTGCACCCCCATTCCTGCTGTACCTGTGGGATGATCTAAATCACTAGCCCTAAGTTTGGATCAGATACTGCACCCCCATTCCTGCTGTACCTGTGGGATGATCTAAATCACTAGCCCCAAGTTTGGATTAGATACTGCACCCCCATTCCTGCTGTACCTGTGGGATGATCTAAATCACTAGCCCTAAGTTTGGATCAGATACTGCACCCCCATTCCTGCTGTACCTGTGGGATGATCTAAATCACTAGCCCTAAATTTGGATTAGATACTGCACCCCCATTCCTGCTGTACCTGTGGGATGATCTAAATCACTAGCCCTACGTTTGGATTAGATACTGCACCCCCATTCCTGCTGTACCTGTGGGATGATCTAAATCACTAGCCCTAAGTTTGGATCAGATACTGCACCCACATTCCTGCTGTACCTGTGGGATGATCTAAATCACTAGCCCTAAGTTTGGATCAGATACTGCACCCACATTCCTGCTGTACCTGTGGGATGATCCCATGCTGATCAGGTTCTGGTTTCCCCATCATGGTGTACGATTTGCCAGCCCCAGTCTGGCCGTAGGCAAAAATACAGACATTGTAGCCCTCGAAAGCATGCAGGAGCATCTCTTCTCCAATATCCTTATACACCTGTCTCTGTGAAGCAAAGTTAGAATCCTCTTCCTGAGGCAATAAAAAAGAAACAAGTTAACATATGTATTGGTAAACAGAATACAGAGTACACTTCACAATGCTAAATCAAAGGGACAAATCATAATGTCTGATGAAAGCTCAGTGAATGTGTGTCGGTCTGTGTGTGTACAAGAGGTCAGTGAGTGCGCGAGAGTGAAAGGTCAGTGTGTGAGTGTGAGAAAAGTAATTGAATGCATGTGTGTGTGTGCGCAAGAAACGTCAGTGAATGTTGTATTTACTCTTTTCTTTCCCCATGTTGCTGGCCCCCTTCATCCACAAACCAAGTGAATTCTAGAGTACTTTATTGATATGTTGCAGCCCCTTCTTTCTGTAACTTCTCATCCTCGCATTATACCTGTCCAGCTTTTGTTCTAGCTAGTGCCTCTCCTCCTTCCGTGGCACAGATATTCTTTTTCTATTTTTTTAGTCCAGTGCTTACACAGTGCGCATGCAGTGTAGGTAGACAAATTGGAGGGGGGGGGAGTAGCTCTTCGGTACGTCGGACTATCACAATGCTAATTTAACATTTAATTGTGAAATATAGCATGACATTTGAGCCATCATAATTCTGGTTTACCATTTAATGCATAGGTTTCCAACCTGTGTGCCTCGGCACCCTGGGGCGAGGCGACATGCACACAGGTGGAAAGATTACTGCTGAAGAGGGGGACTCAGGAAGCCCTCCTGGCACATAAGGTAAGCTGAAAGGAGGGTGGCTGGAGAGTTTGTTTTTTAAATCACTTGTATGAGTATGCGCATATTATAGAGAGAATATATATATATATATATGTGTGCTTCTGTATCTGCGCACACATCTGTGTGTGTGCGTCAGGGTGCATGCATCTGTGTCAGTGTGTGTGTCAGGATGTGTGTATGTGTCTATCTATATGCATCTGTGTGTCAATGTGCATGAATATCTGTGTGTATGTATGTGCATACACACAAGCAGTCAAACACCAGCACAACATACAAGCACACTCCTGCAATCTAACTCAAATATTATATACACACCCCTGCATTCAAACAAGAATAAAATATACAAAACACACCCCTTCACTCAAACACAACTACTTCACACAAATGTACATCCACATTTAAAAGTGAACATTACATTCAGACACACCCCTGCAATCAAACACACCCCTGTATTAAAACATAATAACTATACAAGCACCCCTTCAAACACCAACACTGTACATTACCATATAGCGCCAGTAAATGCTGCAGCGCTGTACAGATATACAACCTAGAAATTTTGACTTTGGATGCCTTGGAAAAATACTGACATATTAAGGGCGCCTTCAACCTAAAAAGTTTGGGAACCACTGATTTAATGGATAAATATTGCAATAAGGCGAAGGGGAAGTGGTCAGACCTTTTGTTATTGGCTTCTTGCTGCCGTAAAAATCCCTGTAAATACTGAAAAGGAATCCAGCTGGGAGCGGTGTGAATACCTGACATGTCTGGGATATCATTGTGTGAGTGGAGATGGGGCTGTGACTTGAAACTCTGTCCAGTCCTGCACTCTGGGAAGTGAATGAGGGCCGGCAGGCATTCACCACCCGAACAGTGGACATTTCCAGCAAGGGCTGAGTCGCTTACATGGAAACTTACTGTCTGTTTGGGTGGATGAGAGATCATACAGAATGATAAAGAAACAAACACAGCCAGCAGACAAAATGTGTCATGCAGTTGCTGTAGCAGAGGGGTTAACAGGGTCATTCTGTGCATGCTGTACAGCAGCTGTGATGACATCATCAAACTGTGACCCCTGCTACTAGCAGCATGCTGCGTACAGCTCTCCTGATTACCCACTAGACCTCTTCTCTCTGATCCCAACAAAGGGTTAACATCGGTAACTCCTGTCTGATGATCATTCTGATAAACATCAATGGCAATCTTCATTTTAAAGAGACACTCCAGTGGGGATTTCACCCATTTCATTATATAATGAAGTCTTTGCAGATATTCCATTAAGCTCTCACTAAAAACAAAAAATGAACTGTCCACTTATTTTAGATTAACATTTTATAACACTGCTGAGCTCCTGGGAAGTGATTAAAAGGACAACTGTCACCGCAAATCTATTTTTTCATTTTCAAGTTTTGATGTAATTTGATGTAAAAATATATATACATTTGAGAAAGAAAAAAAAAAAGGAGAAGACTCATCCCTAACTTTAATGGATTATTGGATCCTTTAGCCATGTACGTTAAGGAACAGAGCCGTTTTAACACTTCTGTGGTGTTTGTGTTTAGCTGTAATTTTTCTCTCTCTGTTTACTGATCCCATACAAGTTATAAAAGTTATATATTGTTTTTTCTGGACAAAAAGGGCTTTCTTTACATACCATTATTTGTATCATGTCATATAATTTAATAATAAATCAAATATTGTGAAAAATTAGGGGGGAAACAAAATATGTTTTTCTACTTTTACTTGAAAAATCTTTTACTTATCTACAAAAGCTAATGACAAAAACTGTTAATAGATTAAAATTTTTGTCCTAAGTTTAAAAACACCCAGTGTGTACATGTTTTTATTGCAAGTTATAGGGCTATAAGTACAAATAGGAAATTGCGGTTTCAAAATATATATTTTTAAGATGTATCAATAGTGACATTGTAACACTTTTATCTGTCATACATCTCTGAATCACACCTCACATGTACATATTTTTTAAATTCGACAACCCAGGGTATTCAATATGGGGTATGTCCAGTCTTTTTAAAGTAGTCACTAAGTCACGAGTAGTGATGTCGCAAACCGTTCGCGAACTTCAACATGCAACCCAATACCATCATGGGAGTAATTCTCATTAGTGGGCTACCATACGCTCTCAAAGGCAACATAACAATCTGGTAATTTTCAATGTAAAAACATTTGACCCTTGTATTTGACTCTAAGTTTCAAAAACAGTATAAAACATGGGGGTACTGTTATACTCAGGAGACTTCGCCGAACACAAATATTAGGGTAAAACGTACGGCAATAATTTCAGTGAAAGTGCTGTTTGTGTGTGAAAAATGCAAAAAACTTCACTTTCACTGACACTATCATCGCTGTGATATGTTTTACGTTTTTTTTTTTTACACTGATATTTGTGTTCAGCGAAGTCTCCAGAGTAAAACAGAAACCCCCACCCATGTACAGGTTTTATGGCGTCCTGGAACGTTACAGGTTTAAATAAAGTGCTAGCAAATTAAATTCTCTGGACTATCGGCCTGAGTTGTCAGCCAGGTCACCCAAATTGCAAACAATAAACTTACTTATGTAAAAAAATATATATATATAGAGAGAGAGATTTATATATTTGAAGTCTACGTGTATATTTATGAAATTATTTAAGTAATTTTGTATATGGATATATTTCATATTTTTTTTTATATATACATAAATGTGTATATAATTACATTCTACATGTATTTTGATATCTATATATATTAATATCAAAATACTGTTAGAATAACATTTCATATATAATTTTTACGTTTATTTACTTATTTTATAATATATACACACACACACTATATACCATAAATATAGTAAAAATCTTACTGTATTCAAGCCTGAAGCTTGAAATCTGCATGCTGCTAGACTCAGACTGCTGACATGTGGTAGCCTGATCCAATCACAGTGCTTCCCCATAGGATTGGCTGAGACTGACAAAGAGGCAGATCAGGGGCAGAGCCAGCATGATTCAAACACAGCCATGGCCAATCAGCATCTCCTCATAGAGATGAATTGAATCAATGAATCTCTATGAGGAAAGTTCAGTGTCTGCATGCAGAGGGAGGAGAATCACAGGATGCTGTGCACAATGCTGACCTGTGCTCTGCTGACAGCAGATCAGGGTGGATGGAGGCATATTACACCTCCATCAACTCCGAAGTCCCTCTGGTTCACTCTGAGTGACTGCAACTGGAGGTGTTGCTAGCTTTCAATGTAAACACTTTTTTTTATCAGACAATGCAGTGTTTACATGAGAAAGGCTGCAGGGAGCAGCAGTTCTCACCTGAACAACCTCATTAAGCTGTAGTTGTTCAGCTGACTATAGTATCCCTTTAATTCTGAGTGTATTTTTAGAATATAAAAATACACTTTGTATGATATATACACACACACACATTTTGTTTATTAACAATTTTTTTTATTTTTATTTTTATTTTACGCATGCAGGGAGACTGCCTGTCACACAGGCAGTCCCCCTGCAGGCAGATTCACAGACGCCTATTGCGGCCATGAGACCGCTCTGTTTGAGCAATCACATGGCTGCAGTCCCCCCAGACCGGGGGCAACGCCGATCGCCGGCGGTGATCAGGTAAGTAAATATTACCGTTATGACAGTTCAGGACCGTCATCAGTCCTCAAGGGGATGTTTCTGATGACAGTCCTGAACCGTCATCTGTCCTTAAGGGGATAAGGACGAAGACCATTGTACAAGTTCTGAACCAAAACAAAACCTAGAATTTGACCTATGTCTGTTGTCGTCATTATATTCTTTACTGTTCTAAGACTATTTCTAAGAATATTTGTGTACAGCTATGCCTCATGGGGCATGCCCCAATACATAATTAATAAAATAATATAATTCTATATAAATACAGTCAGCTTGAGGGGAGATAAAAAAAAATTATATGTATACACATATTTATGCTTAAAATGAAATTATATAACATATAAATCATATTGTTTTATTCATTATGTGTTGTCCCCTGCAGCCAAACATGCAATCCAGCTGATCTGATTCACGTGTTCACGGTGTTATCGTGATTATATGACTGACTACCTGGACTGCCTGTACGGGGATTGCCTGGGTTGTCAGGCAGGACCTCCGATCACAACTGCCGTTGAGGGTATGTATTTGGCCCGGAGGCAGGGGCCGATTCTTAGGGTGAGCTATGCCACACTAATGGCATTACAGCCTTTTATTTATAGGACAGCACAGCCTGTCCTAACATAAGGAAAGGGATAGAGATAGATATAAAGATAGAAATATATACATATACACACACATATACATGGCTAAAGGCTCCGAAAATATGTTAAAGTTGGCGATGAGTTATAAATTTTTTTTACATATAAAACTCTATGTCCTTTAAAGGGACACTATAGGAACCCAGGTCACTTCATCTCACTGAAGTAGTATGGGTGCAGTGCCACTGTCCCCTTAAAACTGCAATAATTGCATTGCAGGGATAACTCCACCTCTAGTGGCGGACTACCAGAAGGCCATGACATGATACCCCACTCTGAAAACCTAATGCCTGCTCTTATATTAATCCACCACAAACCAGAATCCTATTGTTGTGGGCTGCCTGGCTCTGTGAATACATGTAGAGACAGGACAATGCAGGCAAAGCAGTGGGGAGGTGAAAGAGGAATGTGACAGAGGATAAGGAAGGGGGAGACCGGAAGGGCAACTTAAAATAGGAAAGGAGCAGATTAACCCAGGAAAAGCACACTAAACTCACCGTAGTGTGGGACCAATAGGAATAGTCAAAAGTGAAGTTTTTGGGTGCATCTTTGGGCTGCTTAGGGTTTGTGATACCTGGAAACAGACAAAGAGAGGGTCACCATTCACACCCAGCACCACCGCTGGACACATTAACTACATAGAATGGGCTGTGCACGGCTGAGCTTCATGGGAGTAAAGAACTGCTACCCAGCACTGGGGAGCAACACACTCCAAAGAGTCCTGTCCATTCATTACCACAATTAATAGACTGTCTTCACCCCTGGTACCGTGTCAGTGACTGTCAGCAGTTATTGGGACATGTAATGTTGCTGTTCCTGTTTCAGGTAATTAAAGCTCAGAATAAATCCAGCTAGCACAGAGACAATGAGTGAGTTACACACAGTTTCCGAAACCTCTGGAAGGACAGTAAGACTGCTGTAACTATATAAGTCAGACAATTTCAGACAACTCCTTTTATTTACCGAAAACTTTTACACACAACGGATAAAAAAAATAAAAAAAGGCTGCAATTAAAATGGCACAATAAATACCATCACCATCACCATGTAGCAGTTATGGTGTAAGGAATATTTTGGTGCTGCTCCCTCCCCAAAGTTTTATTGTTTTTGTTTAAATCAAATTATTTGAGTGACATGACACAAAGAAGCACCTACACCCCAGCCTCACTGCTGCACAGCTACTGCGGAAACGATTGTACCCATACATCCAATGCTTGATGGAAAAACCCAGAGATAAAAGATTCCAATAGTGCAATAAACAAATTGTGGATCAAAAACATTCCATGTGTTCCCATGGCGATTGTTCCGCTCTTCCATTACTGACTAATAATGGATGCACCGGTATCTGCTTAAAAGGCATTAGCCTGATAGGAAGAAGCAGGGAGCGAAGAGTTAATATTTACTGTAAACAAAAAAATGATCAAATCCTTCGTTTAGCGAATCAATACTTACAAGTCGAGTTCCCCTGCATCTGGATCACACATTTAGCATCATGCGAGGTCTCCCGACTGTTAAAAGGTCGGACACGGACAGCAACTTTCACTGATGCACCAGCCATCTTCACACAGCTCTTCTCTGTGAAACAAAACAAGCATTAAAGAAAACTTTAAAATCGGATTGCAATAAGTTATAGGGTCAATGACGTCCCCTCTGCTGGCATAAGAGAGCGTCTCACACACACACACACAGGGATTCCTATAAGTTATAGGGTCAGTGACGCCCCCTCTGATGGGATAAGAGAGCATATCACACACAGGGATTCCTATAAGTTATAGGGTCAGTGACTCCCCCTCTGATGGGATAAGAGAGCGTCTCACACACAGGGATTCCTATAAGTTATAGGGTCAGTGACGCCCCCTCTGATGGGATAAGAGAGCGTCTCACACACAGGGATTCCTATAAGTTATAGGGTCAGTAACGTCCCCTCTGATGGGATAAGAGAGCGTCTCACACACAGGGATTCCTATAAGTTATAGGGTCAGTGACGCCCCCTCTGATGGGATAAGAGAGTCTCACACACAGGGATTCCTATAAGTTATAGGGTCAGTGACGCTCCCTCTGAGGGATAAGAGAGCGTCTCACACACAGGGGTTCCTATAAGTTATAGGGTCAGTGATGCCCTCTCTGATGGGATAAAGATAAATCCTAGGACAGGTTGAGCAGTTCATACCAGTTTGTGTTCTGCTTATGAAGCAGTTTAGCTGCAGGAAATCCTATTGTTGGTTGGGTGGGGTGGGATGAATGGTTTCCCACATACTGTATCCTCCCTGCAGGGCTGGAAGCACGGCTGCTCACTGCTTGTAATGAAAGATCTGATTTCATTCATCCGCACACAGATAGAACGCTGCACAAAGCACAAATCATCTTTTACCCCGATCTCTTATTTATCACCCGCTTCATTTTTGCAAAGCTGAGGTTATAAATACACTTTCTTTTAATGCAGCTCAGATGCGGCCAATATACTTGAATTTACCTTAATATGGTATAAATACAACGTTATTTTCAATAAGGAGTGAACCAAATGCTGACTATCGATTTTCTGTACATTAAGCTTTATAGAAATGCTTTGAGTGAGCACAGCCTGCCAATAATGAACATTGGTTATTGCTACTAGGGCACTGGCCCCCCTACTCACTGTGGTCCCCCATCCCCTCATTTGCAAAGACCCGGACGTCCCCCCTTCACTCGACGGATGGTCCCGCTGCACTCCGTGCCCTATTTCACAAACATCTCAGGAATTTTCCTTGTGCTCGAGAATGAGCAGAAGTCGCCCCCTCCCTCTCTCCCATTCCAACAAAGCAGGGAGATAACAAGAAGGAGCATATAGGATATTGGCCACAATTATTATAGAGTTACCATACTCACTGCTTGTTTTATTTGGAGAAATTTAGGATATACCTAAACCCATTAGGTCATGCATAATGATGCCAAGCTAACTTTCTCCCAAGAGAATATCTAGAAGGACTGTAAAGGCATGCTCTGCAGAGTATGTTTACACTGCCCATTCCTCCTCTTCTTCCCACTGTATTGGCACTGCCGCATGGTGACCCGAGGACCACCCTGAAGAGAAGGAGGGCTCTACAATACTGGAAAGCTGTGTGAATGTTAATACTTGGTGGGGACACTCAGACCAGGAAGAGCAAACAGACACATCCACAGCTGCTATACAACTACAACTCATGATCCTACACTATCCTTGAATCTGGGAAAGCAGTGAAGAGTTTGTTTTAATACAGCTGTACTATACCGTATAAAAAGAGTAAATAAATCACAGCACCAAGAATCAGATGGAATATGCCATATCATGGTAGGTTCACTCCGGCTCCCAGCTGGATCATAAATGTGGGTCTGTCCCTTTAAGTCTACCCTGGGTCTCAATCCTCCCCCTCCATGGCAGAAGCTATATATACACACTTGCAGTGCTTTGTCACTCGTCACACAGTGTGATGGACAGGAATGGCAGCATGACAGACATGGGACAGTATGTGTATATTACACCCCATGTGCTGCAATCATTGTACAGATTGAAATAACCATGTAATAATATATCATCCCTTACTCATGTTCATTTTTTAATTCACCATCTCTTGATCTCCCCTCCACCTCCTGGCCCCTTCCTCCATCTCTCCCCTCCACCCCCTGGATCATCGTCATCATCTTCCTTCACCTCTCCTCTACCACCTGATTTTAATTACCTCCTTCTTTACTTCTCTATTTCCTCAGCAACGCCTACATCCTCATCATCCCTTGCTCCCTTTTTCATTTCTCAACGCATCTTCACCCCCTTTCCATACCTCATCTCTTCCTTCTTTGAACTGCTGAACTTGTATCATGTTCCGGCACCATGTGACCCATACAACCAAATCCACCAACTCAGATCTCAGCTAAATATAACTAATATACGCAGAACCACTTACTCCATCCCACACACCGGGTTCCCCTCCTAACAGGACTGGCATTTGTATCACATGCTTAGCATTCCTCCAGACAGGAACTGCAGCCATAAATTCCAATGTTCACAGCTGGAACACTGATTACGATCATTTAAGATCAAAGAGTATTCCTGTAAAGCTTAGGATGTACATCCATGTTAGTGTTGGTGTACAAATTCACAGAAGATTCACTGACCCATGGCTTGTAAGAAACGTGGTCCCCATGTTTGTCAACTCTGGTCAGTGCTCCTTGCAAGGATTACAGAGCAATGAGCAGGACAGTAGATGTCTGCATCCTGTGGATTATAACTGCATCCCATCTGATGACTAGAACATGTTCTCTTCCACTGACCTCGAGTAATAAACCTTTAGAATGGGAGTACTGCACGTGGTGCGCATGGTGTCTGGGAGTTATTACATCAAGGCAACAGCAGTTCTCAGCCACTTCCTGGTCTTTGCAGAGGTCAGCACAGAAGAGGCAGATTTGGGGAATGTAAAGTGCTAATAAAACACTTCAAAGCACCTTTACTATTTAAGCACACTGTAGAGGTTATGGTGACAGAATGTAATTAGATGGGATTCGTTGAGCACTCACAGCATTGAGCTAATTCCAGTGGGGTGAGAGTAATCAGCTGAGCCGATTATATTGCCCTGCTTGTCAAAGTTTAGCTCAGGAGAGCTACCGGAAGCTCCATGGTGATCGTAGTCTGATCGTTGTCACTAGCACCCAGTGTACCCAGGCAAATTGTCAAACTATTAGCAAATGGTTTGACTATTTACATAGAAGGGGAGGATGCACCAGGTCACTCCAGGCACCATAAAACCTACAGCAAAAATACCAAAAGTAATATGGAGGTTAAATGTCACAAAGATCAGCTAACATTTACAATCTACAGTCCATATCATTGCATGTGCTGTATCCAGGATCTTATGCTTGGCCACTTTTACAGTGGACAGTCGTGATTTTGCAGCTATTTTGAAAATCTTATAAATGTTTACATTATTCAACCAGCCTCAAAAGCATAACTAAAGAGCGGTGATCAAAATCTACAGTGTGCGCTGCCATTTTCATGATGCCCAAAACGTCTGGTGGCCATACTGGTTCACATGGCCAATTTTTAAATATGTTTATTTAAAAAACCTTACCCCCCAAATCTTCACTACTGACATCTCTACTTACAATACGTGAGAGCTGTGCCAGCCACCTCCATTGCTGCATGCGGCTACATTATACCCGTTTTCATTGTTTTACTTCTTGCACAATGCTTTAATAGTTCTCATACAGTAAAACGGCTGATTGCAGAGTGCCTGAAATTCTGCTCCCATTTACCTTTTATTTGCAGATCAAAGTCCTAAGGGCCAATGATTTCCAGGAGACTGTACACAATGCCGTGCTACAAGATCAAATCTTTCCATTTTAAAACACAACATATCAGAATCTGGGGCCCAGGACCTCCAGAGAGATCATTTTCCACAAACTACATGTTAACATAGGATAACACCTCTCACAATTGGCATGTCATACCACACAGCCACTGAGGACACCTTATTCTCTTGCTGTTGTCCAACCAGGCAGTTCCCTATAAGAGGAACTCTAAAAATAAGAGGTGATTTGATTTGGCAGAGCTAGCTGGTTACCCAAGGCAGCAGATTAGCACTTGAACTTTCGTTCTGCCAGGCTTGGGGCCCTTAGCGTGTGCAGATCTGAGGCCTGTTTATGCAGTTTGCAGACAGATATTACTTATTTATCCTTTACTGACACGAACAGAACAGAGCAGCTGGGTATTTAAAGCCATTCCACGGTGCTTACAGCAGCACATGGATATACTAGCTAATTAAACGTGTATTAGAAATCCTATAAAGAATCTGATATCACTAGGAATCACTGGATGACACTTGACGCTGAATACATTGCAAGTAGATCGCGAACAGAGGTAGGAACATATTTCTTGATACAAAAGTAGGGTAGCCAGAGCTCTGGGTTCAGCCACCGAAAGCTACATGTTAATTCCGTTGGTCAAGTTAAACGAGATTAATACAATAAGCACGAGTATAACAGCAACAGGCACACTCTTATTAGGGACACAGTAAATATAAAGACATGTACACAAAGGATGCTGGGTAAGCGCCAGGAAGGCTGCGCTGTGGCCAGTCCTGGAATCTGACACGGGGTCATTATTTTATAAAACCAATCATTAGCAGATAACAGCAGGAGCTGGTCCTTTGCTGAGCTCTATGTCACAGTAAGCACTCAGGGAGAGGTCACGCACTGTTACTATTTATTCTCTGAGAGCAACAGTAGGAGTAGGCAGCGTTTGGTTGTTAATTGAATTTCAAGCAGGTGTCCCTATACCCATCAATTCTAATCAATTTGCATAGTTTGGAGGTAGACACACGGTCATGATATAACACACAACAAAGCCAGATATTATGGTCTGATAAATACAGAAAGAGCAGAATAATGGTCACCACTTTATACAGGAGGCAGCAATACTCCCAACCACATGGCATCTCTGACCTTGGCTTTACACTTTGCCTGCACTGATCTTTGCCCAAACTGGCAATGAGGTGGCAGCTTTCTAAAGCTATGTTTATTAAATTGTTAAGGCTCTGACCTACCCTTACCTGGGTCTCCAAATGATCAGCTTCTCTGCATCCCCAGGAATCAAAAGACTAGCGAGGTCTCGGTCACGTGTCCTCCGTAGTACTTATCCCAAACATGCATCAGAGTAATGCAGGCCTTAGTGTAATAATCTCCATCCAGGACATGGTACACAGACAGCAGGAAGCCAGCCACCAGGCGTGGCACAGATATTGCTATCTGAGCTAATGACAGATACACCCAAGTGTAATTTTATCAGTGCTCACGTTACTCCACCCGTACACGTTAATTCTCTTACAATGGCTTGTGTCCTTTACTTTTCACGATTGTTTATAGACAATTATAACAGCTAATGAAAGAAGCATCCAGGGCAAGATTCAGTAGGACTATCTCCATTCCATGCTGTTATTCAGAGCGATATGTTCTCCCAGTTTAGCCACAATGCTCTCCTCTTCTTGTGCTCGATGAGTGGTAAATCCCTTGTAAACACAGCACATAGTAAAGCTTCCCAATCCTGCATCACCTCCGCATAACTCAGAAAACTAATCGTTTTACGTGTCTGATTCCTGTAAAATGATGTGATTTCCACGCTGTGTTTGTTCCCCGGTAAGAGAGGTCATACTTTATTGCTGTGATTTTCTTGGCTGTGGTAATTTCAGGGCAAAGCTGGGAAACGAAACAGTTACCTGTTTTAAGAGAAGAATGCCATTAGTGTCTGTGTATACAGGTCTGTAATCATTTTGCACCATGCACAGAGAAGGACAATGAGGGAAGCCTCAATTACAATGAATAGGTCACTCAGGTTTTTCATGGCTCATCTATGGTCCCCATTCTGCTCGTATCCTCATTGGAAATGAAATGCTTAACCTTTGAAAACCATTACTCTAATATAGTTTATTCCACATGTTTATGCAATTATAGCACATAGTAGCTCAAATCTCCATTGATTAACAGAACTTTTAAAGGGTGTTCTTTGGATAGCCCTGCTCTGGAGGGAATGGGGACCAGTTAATACACACCCAACACGGTAGAAGATTTATAAATTATGTATTGTGAGCTATCAGATAGATACATATTAATTCTAAGCGATGTGAATAATAGCTGTGTGATACGGCACATCCTTTCCACTTTGAATGAGTAAAACATTCATACAATCTCCTGTGTGAATCAGCATCTGATTTCATATCACCAGTCTAACGTAGTGAGATAAACAAGTGATTAATACATCTGTGTGCGAATACATGGCATGCAGGAAGTCATTTAATAGATTCCACTGTATCATTACACCTTCTATAGCAACCAGAACTCAAAATCAGATCAATCCGCAGAGAATAATGATAGACAGCCGAGTAATAAACCAGTATAAAAAGGAAATGGCATTGTCAGGGAGACCAAGCACCATAAGCAATATATCCCAAAGTAGTAAGAATTAAACCTGTGGAAAAATCTATTTCAGTTATGTCTGGATTCGTTCAGGCATAGATTAACTGGAATTTGATTCATTTGACACAGCTGAAATGATTTTGTGTAGTGAAGTTTAGTAGTTCTGGTGCCATTTGGCTATAGAAACAATCGTCTGGGATGATGAGAGAGAACACCATCAGTAAGGGTGTGCGTAATAAGAATGGATCCATTCTTACTTTTCCCCTCTTTCCCAGACAAACCATGGCAGCACTACAATGGGTATAACGTCCCACACTTCAAATTTGACAGGAACATCCTCAAATAAAATGAACCTCCTCCCGCCACTATTCCGCAACCAATTTTAAAGCCAACAAATTCACATAAGGTGGGAGTATATGTAACGGACCGTTTTGCCCACAAGAGGTTAAAACTTGTTTAGGCGATATTCCCCTTTTTTCAGATGCACAAACAGCTACTGCAATCACCACTCTCCCGAACTGCAAACACACGAATACTGGAAACAGCCGAATAGGAAAAACCATGCGAATAGGTTTACACTCCTAGCAGTCAAACTGGAACAGCATACAATAAATCCTCCCCAATGATGAGACGACACTTCACTTTGAGGGTTAAGCAGGAACTCTCTGTAATGGCCACACACTGGCTTTTATGCAAGTCCCCATCCCACAGGGTGGGACACAGTACAACCAATCGTTACAGGGGAACCGTAAAACACACCCACAATTACATCACAATCCCTCCTCTCTGTCCAGGAGATAACTGTGAAGTAATCAAATTATCCCCAAGGACAGAGGCAAAACTCCATTAATCACATGGCAGACAAAGGACAATAAAAGACATACAATTACATACAGTTACATTTATTCCATAAAATACAGACATGCAACATATCCCCAGATAGCTTAGATCTGAGTGCACATTACTACCGAATGGCGCTCAGATCACATACATACAGTTCAATCGCCATGGAGCCAAAGTCTTTCATACAGTCTTTCAGCATACGGCTGGGCTCCATGGCATAGCTATATGGGGTAGCATGGCTTTAACAGTCTACAGAAAGGCACGAATACGCTTTGCAGGGAAAATAAAAGGTTTTAACTGCCGGGCCATAGTCTAAAGGGAGCAGGCGAGCAACCAGGCTCCTCCAGTGGACAGTGGTGAGGCTGGTTTCGCCACATTTCTCCCCTTTACCATCCAGACTAACAGGGTATCTGACCTCCTGTCGGTCAGTGCCCTGGTTAGTCCAGCAACCCACCCACAAAACAGAATCTGCAGTATAACCCACCCACCAGAATTGGTTAATACACCAGGGGTAGTGGGTAGTTTGTCCATGTCCAGGAGCTCCACCTCGGCTCTGGGGGGTACTAGCATTCCGGATCGGTGGGTTGCTGAGTGGGAAGAGACCAGCGGTACTCTGCCCTGCTGCCAGCGCTACCACGGGAGTAGCCTGGTTGGAGCCCAGTTGAGGGAATGGCGTAATAGGCTCCTCACTCTGGACCTGGTACTGCTGCTGGAGGGCAAGACAGGCTGTCTCCCCTTTGGATGAACATCCCTGCTGCCGGGGAACAGGACCGACCATCCCTAGCCCTTGTGAAGCATGTGCAGAAACCATGGTCCCATCTGCACTGGTGTGGGGCTTATCATCTCCCCTTGGTGGGCTAGGCTGCCGTTGGGGAGAGGGGGTAGCAAGTTATCCACTTTCTGTCGCTGGGGAGAGGGAATGACAAGCTCTTCTCCCTGACACTCTTTCTGCTGGTGGAGAGGGGGACCAACTGTCTCCCATTTCAATATTTTGTCCTGCTGCTGGGGTGCGAGACCGACGGTCTCTGCTCCCTGCAGGACACCCTGCCGCTGGGGAGGAAGGACGGCACCTTCAGCTCCCTGTAAGACAGACTGCCGCTGGGAGGAAGGACGACACCTGCAGCTCCCTGTAACACACACTGCCACTGGGGAGGAAGGACGGCACCTTCAGCTCCCTGTAATACACACTGCCGCTGGGGAGGAAGGACGACACCTTCAGCTCCCTGTAATACACACTGCCGCTGGGGAGGAAGGACGACACCTTCAGCTCCCTGTAACACACACTGCCGCTGGGGAGGAAGGACGGCACCTTCAGATCCCTGGGACACACACTGCCGCTGGGGAGGAAGGACGGCACCTTCAGCTCCCTGGGACACACACTGCCGCTGGGGAGGAAGGACACCTTCAGCTCCCTGTAACACACACTGCCGCTGGGGAGGAAGGACGGCACCTTCAGCTCCCTGTACACACACTGCCGCTGGGGAGGAAGGACGGCACCACCTTCAGCTCCCTGGGAGACTCACACTGCTCCCTGTAAGACTCTGCCGCCGGGGAGGAAGGACGACACCTGCAGCTCCCTGTAACACACACTGCCACCGGGGAGGAAGGACGGCACCTTCAGCTCCCTGTAATACACACTGCCGCTGGGGAGGAAGGACGACACCTTCAGCTCCCTGTAATACACACTGCCGCTGGGGAGGAAGGACGACACCTTCAGCTCCCTGTAATACACACTGCCGCTGGGGAGCAAGGATGGCACCTTCAGATCCCTGGGACTCACACTGCCGCTGGGGAGGAAGGACGGCACCTTCAGCTCCCTGGGACTCATACTGCCGCTGGGGAGGAAGGACGACACCTTCAGCTCCCTGGGACACACACTGCCGCTGGGGAGGAAGGACGACACCTTCAGCTCCCTGGGACACACACTGCCGCTTGGGAGGAAGGACGACACCTTCAGCTCCCTGGGACACACACTGCCGCTGGGGAGGAAGGACGACACCTTCAGCTCCCTGGGACACACACTGCTGCTGGGGACTCTCCCAACCTGCCAACTTACGTGCCCGCCCTGCTCTGACCTGCAGGTACTCTTCTACATGTCTCCTCACAAGCTGCACGCATCTCTCCGGGGGGTTGGGTCCAAAGAAAGCCATCCATGTGGTAAATTCTCTGTCATACTGCTCCTGAGTGTAGCTGGGTGCCATGCTTGCCCTGCTGCCCTCCATTTGTAAGTCCAGGGGATGGTGTTACCTTGTAGCTGTCCTTCTGGGCTGTGGGAATGATCCCGTCGCTTGCCACCAATTGTAACGGACCGTTTTGCCCACAAGAGGTTAAAACTTGTTTAGGCGATATTCCCCTTTTTTCAGATGCACAGACAGCTACTGAAATCACCACTCTCCCGAACTGCAAACACACAAATACTGGAAACAGCCGAATAGGAAAAACCATGCGAATAGGTTTACACTAAGCAGGAACTCTCTGTAATGGCCACACACTGGCTTTTATGCAAGTCCCCATCCCACAGGGTGGGACACAGTACAACCAATCGCTACAGGGGAACCGTAAAACACACCCACAATTACATCACAATCCCTCCTCTCTGTCCTGGAGATAATTGTGAAGTAATCAAATTATCTCCAAGGACAGAGGCAAAACTCCATTAACCACATGGCAGACAAAGGACAATAAAAGACATAAAATTACATACAGTTACATTTATTCCATAAAATACAGACATTCTACATATCCCCAGATAGCTTAGATCTGAGTGCACATTACTACCGAATGGCGCTCAGATCACATACATACAGTTCAATCGCCATGGAGCCAAAGTCTTTCATACAGTCTTTCAGCATACGGCTGGGCTCCATGGCATAGCTATATGGGGTAGCATGGCTTTAACAGTCTACAGAAAGGCACGAATACACTTTGCAGGGAAAATAAAAGGTTTTAACTGCCGGGCCATAGTCTAAAGGGAGCAGGCGAGCAACCAGGCTCCTCCAGTGGACAGTGGCGAGGCTGGTTTCGCCACAGTATAGTACTACCATGCTGTATGGTCAGTAAAGGAAAATAAAGGCAATACTGATAAAATGTATATTAGCAGCACTGCAATAGGCAATTCTCAAGCATATCTTCAAGAGGATGAGAACCAAGAAACCAAACAGATTTAGCTGGAACAAACTAACAAGCAATAGATGTTGCTGCTTGACCTTATTTACATCTCAAAAGAATGATAAACAAGTGAGAGGATTTCCAAAATAGTAAATATACTTCAATAAACTGAAAGGCATCACCATTTGGAATCCTCTTCTGAACTTCTGGATTCAGTTACAAAGCAGGGAGAAGGATATAGACAAGTGGACTGGAACATTCTCATTTGAACATTGCCTCTCGTCATCCAAGTGAAGACTGAAAGGAAATGTAGAAGGTTCTAATAACATCTGAGAAAGAGCGAAAGAGCGAGAGAAAGAAAGAGATCGGACCAGACCGGACGCCTCCGTCAGGCGATGCTCCTAGTACTCACCAATGATTCCAAGCACT